TTTAGCTGTGCAGAAGCTTCTTATTTTGATGAACATGACACCAACACAGAAATAATCAAGTAGATCAATGAAATGAGCATTCTAGAAACAAATGTACATATCTATCTAACAATGTAATATATGATTAAATTGATATTTCAAATCAATAGGGAAAATAAGACTTATTCAACAAATAAAGTGCACGGATCACTGTTACTTGCAATAAAACAAATATAGAGCCCTATTTCACTCATGATACAAAAAATATTCAGGTGAGTTAAAAACCAATATGCAAAATTGAAGGAGTTTTAGGAGAAAATACAAAATAATATTTCTATTACCCTGAAGTAAAATATTCAAACCCAGAAGTTATAAAGTGAAATATTGACAATATGACTATATTAAACGTTTAAGACTATACAGTAATATACATATAAAAAAAGTTAAAGGACAAGTAATAGAATAGGAAAGTGTTTGCCACACACCTAAAAAAAGGGTTAATAGTTTTTTTTAGGGCAAAAATTCTACAAACATTTAATCAAAAAATGGATAAAGAATACCAAAAAGTCACTTAAAGCTTTCTTAAAATAATAGAAGTAGGCAAGAAATATACAAAAACAGGTTTAGGTTCAACAAATAATAAAGTAGCAATTAAAAGAACACATCATTGCCACAACCAGATTAATAAGTATTAAAAATATTGGTAATATAAAGTGTTTGTGACTGTGAAAGGAACTGGGTATTCATAGACTCTTTTTCTTCATCTTCTTAAAGCAGTCCCTTTAGCATATCTTGCAGTGCTGGTTTGGTGGAGGTGTGTTCTTTTAGCCTTCTTTTGTCTGGGAAACTCCTTATTTCACCTTCCATTTTAACTGAGAGCCTTGCTGGGTAGAGCAGCCTTGGTTGCAGGCCTTTGCTTTTCATGACTTGGAATATTTCTTGCCACTCCCTTCTGGTTTGCAGTGTTTCTGTTGAGAAGTCAGCTGCTAGTCGCCTTGGGGCTCCCGTGTATGTTACTACCTGTTCCTCCCTTGCTGCCTTTAGGATCCTCTGTTTGTCTTTGATACTTGCCATTTTGATGATGATGTGTCTTGGAGTGGGCCTCATCGGGTTCCTCTTGACTGGGGCCCTCTGTGCTTCCCAGACTTGTGTGACTTTTTCTCTCCTCCAGTTAGGGAAGTTTTCCATCATTACTTTTTCAAAAAGGTTCTCTACCCCTTCCTCCTCTTCTTCTCTTTCTGGTATCCCTATTATGTGGATATTATTACATTTCAGGTTGTCCTGCATTTCCCTCAACACCTCTTCATTCTTGTTTAGTCTTTTTTCATTTGCTTGCTCCTTCTGGGAGCTTTTCTCTACCTTGTCCTCCAGCTCGCTGATTCAATCCTCTGCGCTATCTAGCTGGTTTTTGATTCCTTCTACGTGGTTTTCAATTCAGAAATTGTATCCTTCATTTCTTCTTGCCTCTTACTGATAGTTTCTATGTCCTTTTTCATGCTGATATAGTTTGCAGTAAGTTCCTGTAGTTTCCCTGTAGTTTTTTTGTAATTCTCTCTGAGCTCATTGAGCTTCCTTATAATCATTCTTTTGAACTCACTATATGATAGTTTACTTGCCTCTATTCCATTTAGTTCTCTTTGTGGGGATTCCTCCTTTCCCTTTGATTGGGGGGTGTTTCTTTGTCTTCCCATTATTTGTGAGACTCTTCTTTTTTTGCTTCTGCTTCTTAAATTGATCTGTCTTGTCTTTCTGACTTTGCGGTGTGAACTTTTATGGTAGGAGAGCGTTGTTTTTTACTTTCTGGTTCTGCCTCTGATGATGTGAGATGTTGACCCCGTCTCACCTTAGGTAGACTGTTCGAGACTTCCAGGAATCTACTGTCTGTGGCCGTCTCCTTCAGTTGTTAATCTAGTCACTGTGCTCTCAGTAGTGAGGCTTAGGCACCACAGGGCGGGGCAGAGTCCCTCCTAGGAGTGGGGCCATCGTGTCCTCTCAAGCTCCTGCCGCTCAGGGGAGTGGTCTTCCTGAGCCAGATGGCTGCTGCCGTCTGCGGGATGACTCAGCACTGGGATCTCTTGGGCTATTCCCTCCGTTCTCTCCCCAAAACCTCCTTCCCCAGTCTCTCCTCAGGTGTCTCTAGCCCACTCTGTCCCCACTTTTGCTGGAGCCCAGGGTAAGTGGCTACAAATAAAAATTTATGTGTTGGCCCTTTAACAGGCTCTTTGTGTCTCTAGCTGCTTGTCTCTGGCAGAGAGCAACCCTGTCACCTTTCGCAGCTAGCTGTTACCTGTGTACTCTTTGGGCTCTGGGGCTGTAGACTGGAGATACCCGCTTATGGTTGAGACTCCGCTCTTCTCAGGGGGATCCAACTGGCTGTTTCAATATCCTTCTGGTGCTGCTGCCTGTGGACACCCCACCTGCCTCCTGGAGTGTCTACCGCACTCCTTACCAGTCAGGTTGTGCTAAAGCTGATTCTTCTGTCTGTCCGAGGTTATAGGGCTTCCCTCTCTCTATTGTTCAGTTGTTTGTTCCAGGTGATTTCTCCACAATTTAACTGTAATTCTAGATTGGTCCTTGGTGGAGGCCAGTGTGACTTCCATTCACTCCTTCACCATCTTGCCCTCCCTGCTAGACATCATTCATAACGCCTTCAAGTGAAGCTAACTCTCAGCCAAGGCTGGAGACCACTGTTTTTAGGCATGGGGTCTGAATCCATGTTGTAAAAAGCTGATATAAGACTTGGAAATGTTGGTTTCTAAAGATGGAGGGGCCTTTCCTGAGGAATGGGGGACAGTGTGTTCCTAATAAAGGGAAGGAAATTACTGAGAACTGGAAATTTCTGTGCCAGGGAATGAAGGGGGGAGTCATTGAGATATGGAGGTTATGTTGGGAGAATGCAAAGCCTGTCTAGAAAATGGAGGAAGATAGTTGATTTGGGAATAGGCTTTGAGAGGCCCCATAGAAGAATCAGTAGAGGCAAGGATTTTAGGATTCAAACTCTACTCTGCTACCAACTAAATGTGTCCCCTTGGGCACATTGCTTAACCTCCCTATGCTTCAGTTTCTTTATCTTTGAAGAGAGAATGTAATGCCTGCTTTATAAGGATTTTTTGAGAATTAAACGAAATAATGTCCATAGTAGTTGCTCAATAAATGCAACTGTTGGGGTGTCTATAGTGGAGGGGAGGAAGAAACTTTCCTCTACCCTCAAGGTTCTTTTGGCTGGTCTAATAATCAAATAGATATGAGACAGTTTAGCAAGGGAGAATGACCAATTAATTACATACCTATGTATGAGAAGCCTACATACATGAGAGAGTTAGAGACCCCACATACAGTTCAAAAGCAGAAAGAAAAAGTGTGCTATATATGACATTTTGAGCTAGGGATAAGATGAGCCACCTTGGGGACTCCTAAGTGTCATTGCAGGATGATAAGAGATGTTTAGTAGTTAGAAGTTTGCCTTGCCCTATAAATAGGTAAAAAGGATTGTCTCTGATAATCTCTTATTGTGGGAAGGCCCCTACTTCAAATTTCTCTAGGTAGTTAAAGGCGGGGGGGGGGTGTTCTCTTGAGCCCACAGGGTCTTGATTGCCTTTAGCTTGCACCACAGAGGCACATCTTGGGGCGACTTAACCTTGCAGAGGTTAACTTGAAGAATCAAGGGTCCATCTGAAGAAGGGAACATTGGTTCTGAGGAATGGTGGTGATGCGGCGCATGGGGTGGAGGGACGATAGGGAGGACTGGCTCCAAAACCCACCTAAACCCTCACAGTGACAGGGTGAAACCTGGAGATGTCCTGCAGGGGCTGTCAGTCTCCAGGCTTTCGAGAGGCTGCAAGAGGGGGATGAGCATGGAAGAGGTTTGACTGCTAATAACCTCTCAACTGTGGTAGTAAGGAGAAGCCTCGGTGGCAGCAGCATGAGCGCCAGCAGCCTTCTCTCCCATCAGTCTCTGCTGTGTGACAGATGGGAACTTAAAAGCTCCAGTCACACATCTCAGCTGGCTAACCTACTTACCCCTTGAAGACTGGGGCTAGGGCAGATAGGGGCCAAAAGGAATTGCCTGAGAAAGAAGCAGGGGAAAGTCCCAAGAGTGCTCTGGGGACCTACATCTGAAGGTTTGTAGGGTAAGGGAGAGACTGCACATGTGATGTGAAGATGCCACAAGGAGTGTCTGTGAGTCCTGTACATGTCCTGGCAACCATGTGCCTTCAGCAGCAGGCATGTGCCTATCTTAAAGGCCCGAGTTTACCTGAGACATCAAAGATTTCTACAGTTGGAGTAGACTGAGCTCTGGGTACCAGTTTAAGCTTGAAGGTGCTCAAGCTCTCCCAAAGCAGCCAGCCACCCTCTGTCCCTTCATAACTAGATTCCTTGCCCTTAGAGAGGGAAAATGGAATGGTGTGGGGGAGAAGGAGGAGGATGCCCAAGACTCTTGATTTCAAAGCTTTTTTCTCTAGTTTGGGGATTCTCTGGGGGAAGCCTGAGCTCCAGGACCAGAACAGAGGGAAATAGGTTGGTGGAGGAGGGCTCAGGGTGCAGACTGGCTGACAGCTTCACAATCCCTTGAGTGTTGGAATCTGCCCCCCTCGCCCCACAACCACCTTAGTCTAGTCTGTAATCCAGGGACCTGTCCCTACTGAGTGATTTCAGCTCTCCTTTCCTCTCTGCCCTCAAATCAGCCCTTCACTGCCAACCTTTCAGTCCTGAGTCCACAGCCGCATTGGTTCGTTCCGGCACTGCATCGCTGGTGCTGCTCTCCTCTTTGCCATCCTTGCCCCCTGCGAGCTGCCAGTGGGTGCGGGCCCTTTAAGAACAGGGTCCCGTAGATCCGTGGCTTGGAGGAGAGTGCAGTCGCCCGGCGGGCTCTGGAGGACAAGGCGCCCAGGACCAGCCTCAGGGACTCAGTGTGCACAGCCCAGCGGAATCGGGAGCACCCCAACCTCCCCACCAGACCTGTCATCTCTCCTCAGACCTGAGGCCGGGGCCCTCCTGTGCCGCCTGCCCCGCCCCGGCCCCGCCCCGGCCCAGGCTGCCGGACACGGAGCTGGGACTCCTGTGCCGCAGCCCCGAGTCTGCATCCTCGGCCCGTGACAGCGCAAAGCATCTCGGCCCACACCCGCGAGGGGGCACCTCAAGGTGACTAGGCATGCAGGAGATGGCGTGGCGGGGGGGCCGTGTAAGCCGGCCCTGAGGGGCTCAGTTGGCCGAGGGCGGGAGAGTTGAGTCCGGGTGGTGCGCGGGTCTTTGGGGAGCGCCCAGGGCACACGGACCCAGGGGCGCTGGGGGGCCAGGGCATTGTGCTCAGGGATGGGGAGAGGCCCAGAGTCTTCCCATCCACTTTTCCCTGGTTCACCCTGTCCTCACACTGCTCCGATGACCTCCTATCGGTCAGCCTTCGCCGACCACCTCTTCCTTCCTCCCCGACCCCCAACCGCCCAGTCTCCTGGGTCTGCAGGCCTCTGGGGTAAGAAGATTAGAGTTGCAGCTGGCAGGAGGGAGCGGGTGAGGGCTTCAAAGGGCCAGGCTGGGGCTGGGGCTGCCCGACACCAGTGAGGGGCTGGGACTGAGCGTTGCTGCAACGGATGTGTAAAGCAGATGCTCTGGGGTGGGAAGGAAGATGCTCCCAGTATCGTACCTGCCCTGAGAAGGAGGCGAGTTTGGGGTGGGGGCAGCAGTAGCAAACGAGGGAGCATAGATCCGGAGCCTGGGGGTCTGCACCGAACTGAGCAGGCCCTCCTACTGCAGGTTGCCAGCATGATGGCGGAGAGAGCACTAGACGCCGTGGGCTGTGGACTAGGACCGGGGGCTGTGGCCATGGCCGTGGCGCTGGAGGACGGAGGGGAGCCCCCTGTGCTGACCACACACCTGAAGAAAGTGGAGAACCACATCACTGAAGCCCAGCGCTTCTCCCACCTACCTAAGCGCTCAGCCGTCGACATTGAATTCGTGGAGCTGTCCTATTCCGTGCGGGAGGGGCCCTGCTGGCGAAAACGCGGTAGGGAATAGCCTGGTGGGGACCTGTGGTCACACTCTCCCCTCAGTGAGTTGCCGATGGGAGCAAGAGGTTTGGGTGTCCCCTGTCCTGCATATCCTGCACCAATGGGCTCTGTGGGAACACTAAAATCTCAGCCTCTCACTGTGCACATAAACCTCAGTGCCAGGGTCTCCATTCCCTCCACACCTGTGAGCACTGCCAGGCGCTAGGTTTAATTGGTTATTGAAGCTTTCCTCCTTTAAGTTGACACTATGACCTCTGGTCCTTGAGGATTTTTCCTTTCTTACTTTGTTCTTGCCAAAGTCCTTCAAAGCAGGGAGGGTGAAGGTATGGCATGGCAGATGACATTCTATGTTACTAATAAGGAAACTGAGGTCTCCTTAGTAAGTGGTGGAGCTGGCATTAGAAACTAGGTTTTACAGCTCTCCCTGCATTTTTCTGCCAACATAAGAATTTCTGTAGGAAAAAAAAAACCTGTGAGTTTATTAGAGTTTATTTAAACTGAGGACATGCCCAGAAGCAAGATCTCAACAGATTGAGAAAATACTCCGTACTCTGGAGAATGGCAGTTTGGCAGTTCTTTTCCTACATTTAGGATCAAAGAAGAGAGAATGTTAGGAAGGTTACATGAAATTTATTGATGGTAGATTAGGGAGGAAGAAGAAAGCAAAGTGAGAAATCTCTGTAATTTAACATTTACAGTAAATGGAAATGGCAACAAGAGAACAATGAGGACTTTTGGTGTATGTGTTCCTGTATGGCAGATTGGGCTGGGAATAGAGAAGTGGATTTTTTTCCCCCCAGAGCCTTGGTGTGGGTAAGGGGTAGAGCTGGAATATTGTCTTCTGAGGTTTAAGAAATAGATCTGGGTTGCTTTCAGAGCAGGGCTGAGCATGAGTTATTTTTGCATTTCCCCCACTACTTCCAATGAACAACCAAAAGATCACAACACATGAGCCCATGGAAACTGAGGCATCAGGGCCCCCTACGCAGTACCTTATCCCTATGCAGAATCTCTCAGCCCTGAGACCAATTCTGGGCAAAATGAGGGAGTAGGTGTTATCTCCTTAACTATCTCATTTCCTCACAGTTTTAAGGAGAAATAAAGATAAAAAGGAAATGTGGTGAGATGGGCCAGCTTTCTGGTTGCTTCAACCCACCAGCCACAAAATTGTCACCCTTACCTGGTCCTTCATTCCTTGTGAACTTGCCAGTCCCAGTTTGCTCTACTGTCCATTCTGTTGACCTTTCTGTCCCTTGCCCCTTTCTCTGCTCTCTGTCCTCTCTCTAACTTCTCTTTTCACTTGAATCACTCTCTCCTTCTCTAAAGGGCAGAAAATAATTACAGGTAGGGAGAGAGGGAAAAGAGCAAGGGATGTGGAGAGAGAGAGATTTCCACATTTTTGAGCTAAGGATTCATCACCAGTCTCTCCTAATTATCAGCGATGTTGCTTGTTTTTCAAAAACACGTTTTAATTAATTATTCATTATCTCACTTAATATTCACAATATCCTATTATGTCCTTGGTAGGAGATATTACTATCTTTATTTTATAGATGAGGGAACAGAGGGCCTGGAAGATTAAGTGACTTAAAATTGCAAAGAGCCCTGACTGGTGTGGTTCAGTGGTTAGAGTGCCAGCCTGAGAACCAAAGGGCTGATGGTTCGATTCCCAGTCAGGGCACATGCCTGGGTTGTGGGCTGGGTACCCAACTGGGGTTTGCAGGAGGCAACTACACATCTATGTTTCTCTTCCTCTCTTTCTCCCTCCCTTCCCCTCTCTCTAAAAATAAGTAAATAAAATAATCATGAAGAGAAAAATAGAAAAAAATTGCAAAGACACTTACTGGCTGAAGTGGAACTACTACTGTATTTTGCCATGTATAATGTGCACTTTTTAGCCCAAATTTTTGAGGGAAAAATAAGGATGCAAATTATACGTGGGTAGTACTAATGATGCATAAATATCATTAATTTGCTACCGGTACATAAAATTTCTTGTACCTTGTATCTGTTCTTGTGTTTTATAATTATTTATTACATAAAATTTCTTGTACCATAATATGTTAAAAAAATAAATGCTAAAATTCCTTTATAATACAAAAAGAACCAAGTATCTAAATATAAATAATAAATAATTGAATTAAAAAATTAAAATGAAAGTTTTTTTCCTGAAATTTTGGGCCAAAAGTGTGGGTGTGCATTATATACAACAAAATACAGTAGAACTTTGGTTCTCTCCTGCCTAAGGCCTGGTAGGCCTCTTCCAAGCTGAGCAGTTATGGTACAGCAGGAATTCACTTCTAAGCTGTGTGACCTTGGGAAGTCTGCTTACCCTCTCTTGGCCTCACTTTTCTCATCTGTAAACTGGAATGATAAGGATACCCACTACACAGGCTTGTTGTGAAGCTCAGATGTTATCTGTAAAAATGCTTTGTTGAAAGGCAAGTGTAAGACGTTTATATTAGGCATCAGTGTTCAGTCCAGTGTTTGGCTGTGGTTAAATGAGGGGGAAGGTTCATTACTGACAGTGTCTTGCCCTGCAAGAGAAATCACTTCCCATGAATGGCTCTGAAACGCATATATTGAAGTACAGGAGCACTTACCTTTCTAATTGATAATGGTGATGACTGAGGCAGAGGACTGGAACCTTTGACTTTCCCTCTCCCAGCAAGCAACTTGCTGTGTGACCTTGGGTGAGTCACTGGATGTCCCTGTGCCCCAGTTGCCTCATCCCTGTTGCATTTTATGAACTGAATAAAAAAGTGAATTTTATAAACTGTAAAACGCCATCCAGGCAGTTGGTGTGATCAAGACCCCACATTTGGCAACAGCTGTGCCCCTTCTGACAGGATGTCCCAGAGGGACAGACAACTGGGTGCTGTGGAGGGAGGGTGAGAAATCATATCCCTTCTCTGTCTCTGCTAAGGAGATAGAGTGGAGAGGGAATTGGGCTCTGTGGGGTTTGCGGACAGTGGTAGTGAGCAAAGTACCTGGTAGGGGATCGGTGTTTTGGCCTCACTAAGACAAGTCTGCAAGCACAGCAGGCAGGGCCCATCTCACTGGCCTTTTCCTCCCTCTCCATCCCCTTGTGTCGCGAGGTGACCCCTGTAGTCTCTGCCCTCTGCTCCCTGGGCTGCATTACATATAGGCTCCTATATAGGAGAGCTTTCCTCTCAAAGCCTGGAGAATCTTTGAGTTCCCTTTCCATTTTGTAATGCTGTCCATCCTTCAAGACTTAGGGCAAATACCACCTCTTCCAAAAGCCATTCCTGATTTTCCCCTAGCTCCTCCACCTTCATCAGTTCCATTGTCTGCATCCTCATTGTGCTTTATTTATACTTTTGTCATAACTCTTATTTTGTCTTTCCTCAGATCCATAGAGGTTTTCCACCTTTTTTACCTAGACTGTGACCTCCTTCAGTGCAGGAACTGTGTCTTCCTCACTTTCTTGCCCAGTGTCTGGTATAAAGCTTGGGATGTAGTAGACATCAATAAGCATTTGTCAGATAGAATTAATAATAAAATGTCACTTCTTAATGCACTTTATGTGCCAAGCGCTGTCATATGCTGTACATATATTATCTCATTGAGTCTTTATAACAACACTATGAGATAGGTACTATCATCCTCACTTTACAGATGAGTGACCTCGAGTTCAGAAAGGTTAAGCACTTGCTCAAGGTCACACAACTGGTAAGTGTGGAGTCAGAATTTGAACCTAAATTCACCTGACTCCAAACCAGTACATATGCTGCCTCCCAATGAGTGAATGGAAGGTAAGGTTTTACTGGGCTATGTTAGGGGCTGCAGAGACAAGCCTGGGACAGAGAGAGCATGAAGAAGGGTTTTTCAAAATGAGTCCAAAGCTTTGAGAACACACACTCATAGCACAAATACCACTACTGAGGTTACAAAGATGAGTAAGACAAAGACCCTGCCCCCAAGGAGCTCACTAGAGGAGGGAGGGAGGGACAGGCTGGCATATGAGAAGTGCTATGGGAACAGAGAAGACAGTCAGCAAACTCAGGCTGGATCATTGGGAAAGTCTTACTGGAGGAGGTGAGAGCATGATCCCTGTGTTTTTAGAAGCAGATGGGACTTTTCTATAACCCTGAACCCCTCTCCATGCCTATCCATGAGATGGCAAGGGGTTTCCCGTGGCTTTCAGGAGAGTGTTGTTACCTCTGGTGCTTTGACATTAGTAGTGGTCATTTCTAGGGGCCCAGGAGAAGAGGTGTGGGTTATTGTTGGAACTCTGAGGGTTACCCCTCTATCCTAACCCATACATATCAAGTAAGGACTTCTTATTTTACTGATAGCCATGACTGCTCCTAAAAGTTCAGGATGCCTCTATTCACTAGAGCCCTTATCAAAATTTCCTCCCTCCATCACTGCAGGTTATAAGACCCTCCTCAAGTGCCTATCAGGTAAATTCTGCCGCCGGGAGCTAATTGGCATCATGGGCCCCTCAGGGGCTGGCAAGTCCACATTCATGAACATCTTGGCAGGATACAGGTGAGGACAAGGCTAGGATGGAATGGGGACAGAACCCAGGAAGAAGGATCCCCTGGGACACAGAAGGTGTTCTGAAGTAGCCTTGACCCCCATCCCCAACTGATTTTCCTGCAGGGAGTGTGGAATGAAGGGACAGATCCTGGTAAATGGGAAGTCGCGGGAACTGAGGACGTTCCGCAAAATGTCCTGTTACATCATGCAGGATGACATGCTGCTGCCACATCTCACAGTGCTGGAAGCTATGATGGTAAGAGCTTAATAGCCATTTTCTCTTCCCAATTGCCCCTTCTGTCTGCTATTTCCATACTCCTCATTCGCTAAGAGTCAAGGCAGTGGCCTCCTCTTACACTTGGCTGACCCGCATATTCTCTGGGCCTCAGGTCTCTGCAAACCTGAAGCTGAGTGAGAAGCAAGAGGTGAAGAAGGAGCTGGTGAGTGAGGAAGAGGCAGGGGAGGAATGGGACAGCCATCCCTTTTTGGTGCTACTGAGTTTTGGGGCCCTGAGTTGAGGGTGGGGGTTAGAGAGTAGTGGTCAATGCTGGCACAGTAGACTTAAGGGAGATACTTCTTTAAATTGGGGTGGTACACAGGGAAGCAGAGACAATGAAGCTAATCTGGGGCTGGGGGCGGGGCTGGGGTAGGTGACCGAAATCCTGACAGCATTGGGCCTGATGTCCTGCTCCCACACGAGGACAGCCCTGCTCTCCGGCGGGCAGAGGAAGCGCCTGGCCATCGCCCTGGAGCTGGTCAACAACCCGCCTGTCATGTTCTTTGATGAGCCCACCAGGTAGTTCTCCCCTCCTTTTCTACCCTGAGCTAGGACTGGAGGCTGCTGGAAACAAAAGCCTGTGTTCTAAGCCTTCTGGGGCCAAGATAAGGGCTTACCCCTTACCTCCACCCCTGCCAATCCTGTTGCTGTAGCAGCCCCATCCTTCACACAGGCAGAAATCTTGATGTCCTCTTTGACTGAGGCTTCCCTTTCCTTCTCTCCCCAACAGCCAATCAGTCACCAAGTCCTGCAGATTCCACCTCCTTTTGCTATCTCTCAGATCCACCCCACCCCCATTCCTAGTGCCAGTGCCAAGTTCAGGACATCATCAACTCCTGCCTGCATTTCTGCAACAGACTCCTATTTCCTTATCTCCAGTCTCCCAGCCAATACTTCCTCCAAGCTGCTGCCAGAATGAACTTTCTAAAAGACAAGCCTAGCAACCCTCACTCTCCTACTTAACAACAGGCAGTGATGCCCATTTGCCCTCAGAATAAAGTCAGAGGACTTACAAAGTCTTGTTCTGAATCTGCTTCTCTGACCTCATATCTTGCTTCATGCTCTCTTGTATTGCATGCTCTAATAATATTGAATTGCCTATAATTCCTTAGTGAAGACATTTGTTTCGTGCCTCTGAGTTTTGCACGTGCTGTGTCTTCTGCCTGGAATGCCCTTCGCCACCACGTCTGCCCTTCCACCTTCACCTGGTTTAGCTCTTTCTTCTTCCAGACTCACTCAGAAACCTCTGACTGCCCTGCAACACCCTTGTACAGAAGGGTTGAATACACCTCCTTTTACTCCATGTGAATAGAATACAACACATTTCACATTATCTCAAATAATCCATGCACTTAACTCTCCTAGAGTCTATGCCTTATTTATTTATTCATCATTGTAATCCCAGTGCTTGACAGTCAGCAGATGCTCAATATATGCTTGTTAAACTGAACATTGTTCTGGGCTTCTTGGTACCTCCAAATGACTGAATCATAATGTGTACAGGATATAGGGGTGGCCAGAATGACCCCTTCCTGCCAGCTCCATCCCATTCCTAGTATCTGCTCCACCCAAACACTTCCTTCTCTTGGCTCTGCCCACCTCACTCTGCCCCCTGGTGGCCTCTCTCTGGACAGTGGTCTGGACAGCGCCTCCTGTTTCCAAGTGGTGTCCCTCATGAAGTCCCTGGCCCAGGGAGGCCGTACCATCATCTGCACCATCCACCAGCCCAGTGCCAAGCTCTTTGAGATGTTTGACAAGGTGAGTGTCTCTGGTCCTCAAAGATGACTGGCCTGAGATGGGGAAGGGGAAGGGGGTCAATAGAGTTGTGGGCGAGGCCTGCCTGGCCTACTGGTCTTGTTTTCTTCACCCTTCTCTTTCCACTTCAGCTCTACATCCTGAGCCAGGGTCAGTGCATCTTCAAGGGTATGGTCACCAATCTGATCCCCTATTTGAAGGGCCTAGGCTTGCACTGCCCCACCTACCACAACCCAGCTGACTTCAGTGAGTGCGGGCCTGTTGGTAGGGGCTGGGATATGAGTGGGAACAAAAAGTGGGGACTTGGATCATGTACTCAGGCCTTCTGGAGACAGAGATCTCACTGTCACCTGCCTTCAGCACAGACCAAAGGAGGGGCTGGCTTGCCCTTGGGAACAAGGATATGTCTTAGCTGAGCACTCCTCTCTGTGCCTCCCAGTCATTGAGGTGGCCTCTGGCGAGTATGGAGACCTGAACCCCATGCTGTTCAGGGCTGTGCAGAATGGGCTGTGCACCATGACTGAGAAGAAGAGCAGCCCTGAGAAGAATGAGGTCCCTGCCCCCTGCCCCCCTTGCCCTCCGGTGAGTAGGGGTGAAGAGGGCAGAGAGTGTACAGCGGGAGAGGGAAGAAGGGACCATGACAGTGGCCCTGCCAAAGAGGCCAAAGAGACAGTCCCTCAGAGGCATACAACCATTGGGCACTAGGAAGAACCTAAGATTTGGAATAGACCTACTATTAACAGCTGTGTGACTTTGGACACCTTACTTAACTTCTTTGAGCTTCTGCTTTCTCATTCATTTATTCCTTCAGTAAATTTTTACTGAGTATATGTAGTGGGTTGTCCTCAGTGCCAGCACCATGCCACCTGGTTAGCTAGACTGATGCAGTCTCTGGCCTCTTGGCCAGTGTGGCTTACTGTCATCTCCACCCTGGAGGTGATGATACTAAACTCACAGGGTTATTGGGATGACTAAGATCATCACATAAAGCTCTCCACGCTATAGCTGGTTACAGCTAGTGTTTGCCCAGTGCCAGTTCTCTCTCCTTTAATGAGACACTAACCCTTGGAAGCAGGGAGTGTTATTTTGTTATTGTCATCATTATTACTATTGTTAAATAATATTATTGAGAAAGTGATGGCATAAAGCTATGATACCCTTAAAGTAAATGTTTTATGATAGATTAAAAAGAAGAAGAGAAGTGACTGGTCTACTAGTGGCCCTTGTGGATGTCTTTGACTCCCTTTCTATCTCCTCCCTCCCAAGTTTTTATCCCTCCTCCTGTGTCTCTCTGTATCTCACATTCATACCCAAAGACCACTTGCCAGACACAAAAACTCAAGAGAAGGATTTCTCCTTCTCTTGACCTAGAGGACCCCTGCCCTGGGGAAGAGCTCAGGGGTTTTCCCATCCCCTGGGTTGGGTGTGCAGTGGGTGTGTGCAGTAGGCTCACTCAATCCAATTTCCTCTTTCCCAGGAAGTGGATCCCATTGAAAGCCACACCTTTGCCACCAGTACCCTCACACAGTTCTGCATCCTCTTCAAGAGGACCTTCTTGTCCATCCTCAGGGACATGGTGAGGCATCAAGTTGGGGGAGAGGAGGCTGGCATAGGTCTAGTCTTTTGGGGAATAGGGTCCTAGCAGCGCTCCCCCGACCCCCACAGTGCACCTGTGAGTCTGTGTGCCTGTGAGAGCAGCTCCAAGTTCCCACCCCAGTGTGGCTGCTTATCCCTAGCCTATGACCCATACCCTCTTGTTGTGATGACCTTGTCACACAGGTTCTGACCCACCTGCGGTTCGTGTCCCATGTGGTGATTGGTGTGCTCATTGGCCTCCTCTACCTGCACATTGGCAATGATGCCAGCAAGGTCTTCAACAACACGGGCTGCCTCTTCTTCTCCATGCTGTTCCTCATGTTTGCTGCCCTTATGCCAACTGTGCTTACCTGTGAGCTGAGCTGCCCTGGGCGGGGGCGGGGATGCTGAAGCATGGGGTAGGAGCCAGGGTGCCGGCCGGCTTTGCCTAATCTGCCTGTATTCTCAGTCCCCTTAGAGATGGCAGTCTTTATGAGGGAGCATCTCAACTACTGGTATAGCCTAAAAGCATATTACCTGGCCAAGACCATGGCCGATGTGCCCTTTCAGGTGAGCCTCTTCCTCCTACCCATCCACTGCTTCTCTGCTGTCTTACTTCTTCAGTCCTTGCTTGCTTCCCTCCCTCAAACTTACCATTTATCATCTTTTCCTTCATTTCTACTCATGTAGAAAATGAATGGTGAGTACCTCCCATGCACCAGGCTCTGTGGCAGGCAGGGACACAGCACTGAACAAGATGAATATAGTCTTGTCCTCGTGGAACTAATTTTCTAGTGGGAACAGCTGATGACAAACAGAAAATGTTAAAAAATAATAACACTGCATATGATTCTGTAAATTTTATTTGAAGCAGTAGAGAATTGTGTAGACTCTGGAGCCTTACTGCCACTTGCAAGCTGTGAGACACTGGGCAGGTCACCACATGTCTCTGCTGTAGTGTACCAATCTACAAAAAAAGACTGATGATAGTATCTACCATGGGAATGGTAGTAAGAATTAAATGAGTTAGAATGGTGCTTAGTACATACTTAAGTGCTCAATAAATGTTAGTTGTTATTGCCACCACCACCCTATTTTAAGACGTAGGGTCACCAATAATCCATGTGGCACCTTTGTGCAACTTAGAAAAAGGTGCCTCTTCCTCAGAGTGAATGTTGTACTGTGCCAGGGTGCAGAGTGGCTTTATGAGAGGGCACAACTATATCTCATGTCTCCCTCTTGCTGCCTCTTGATTAGGTGTCCTTGTGCAGGGAATAACCTGTATGACGATGTAGTAGGTTTGGTCATTGCCCTTCAAGAGGAGAGGGCGGCTGCACTAGGGGAATAAAACTCACATGCAGAGTTAATTAATTAACAATATAAAGAATAAGCTGGCCCAGGTGGGAAGGACTTCAGGAACTCAGAAGTCAGAGAAGTCATCATGCCTGAACTGGTCAGAGTGGGCCTAATGAAAGAGGTGATACTGGAAGATGAATGAGGTTCGTGTGGCCAGGGAGGAAGGAGACATGTGACCTTGTTGCAGTAGTATGAACAAGAGTATAGAGGCAGGACTAAGCATGGGCATTCAAGGAATAGCTGTTCTAGAGATTCCTGCCAGGGTGAAGTGAAGGGTTTTGGCTGCTTTGCCCCTGGCTCACAATCCACTGCCCAGCTCTATGACACTTCCCAGGTTGTGTGCCCAGTGGTGTACTGCAGCATCGTATACTGGATGACAGGCCAGCCAGCCGAGACTAGCCGCTTCCTGCTCTTCTCAGCCCTGGCCACTGCCACAGCTTTGGTTGCCCAGTCTTTGGGGCTACTCATTGGAGCTGCCTCCAACTCCCTGCAGGTGGGAAGGCTGGCAAGTGGGGACCCCAAGAGGGGAGGGAGCAGGGGCTGGCATAAGGAGTTGGAGAGATCTGTGGAAAACCTTAGAGTTACTCCAGTCTTGGATCTGTCCTGGTCACCCCTGTGATGGCCTTGTCCCCTTCCCTCCCCTCCAGGTGGCCACGTTTGTGGGCCCAGTTACTGCCATTCCTGTCCTCTTGTTCTCCGGTTTCTTTGTCAGCTTCAAGACCATCCCCACTTACTTGCAATGGAGCTCCTACCTCTCCTATGTCAGGTCAGTGCCTGCTTCCCAGGCCATCTGCCCTTGCTCCTTCCTGTAGGAGGCCATGCCCCAGGGAGGAGAGAGTTGCTTCTGGGCTCAGGCAGTTTGTCCAGGGAGCAGTGACCTTCTATTCTGCATCCTGTTCTGATGTTTCTGCTTGCCTAGGTATGGCTTTGAGGGCGTGATTCTGACCATCTATGGCATGGAACGAGGAGACCTGACTTGCTCCGAGGAGCACTGCCCTTTCCAGGAGCCACAGAGTATACTCCAAGCTCTGGATGTAGAGGGTGCCAAGCTCTACATGGACTTCCTGGTCTTGGGCATCTTCTTCCTGGCCCTGCGGTTGCTGGCATACCTTGTGCTCCGGTACCGGGTCAAGTCGGAGAGATAGAGCTTTGCCCTGGCCTGTGCCCTAGGCATCGCAGCAGGAAGGCCCCAGCTCCAGCCCTTTGGGACTGTTTTAACCTCGTAGACTTAAGCACTAGTTGCTGGTGCAGCCACCCTCCCCTTTCTCAGCTCCTCCACAGGTTGGTAGACTAACTGTGCTCTGGGCCCTGGTCTTTGGAATTGGGGTGCAGCCCTTCACTCTGTGCCCAGGAGTCTTCCCAAGTTGATGTGCTTTGTAGCTTCCTCCCTTTTTTCTCCAACACCTGCATGCAAAGACCACGGGGAGGCCACCACCCTCCTTCCTGCCCTCAGCACCCTCCTCTGTTGTCTGCCTGGAAGCCCTGGGCTCTCCTGTCCCCTACATACAACTGACAAAAGTGGCCCCTTCTGGGAGTCCCAACCACACAAGTGTTTGTAAACTGAGCTGTTATGAGGTTGGGGCTCCAGGGCTGGGCCCTGATGGGGTCCCTGGAAGACCCATTTGGATGTTGGAATGGAGCCGGGAAGGACTCCGGAAGTCTTCCTCCTCCTTCTTACCTTCTCCCTCTGTCCCCTCAGACCCAGGCTGATTTAGACAATCTGCTGGGACAGAAGCTGGGTTTTCTGTCTGGTAATCCTCCCAATCCTGGGGATTGGAGCAGCCTTGGGTCATAGGATGTCCCTTCCCTGCTTCCATCACCTTTGGTGGGGGTAGGACCTTGTGGCACCTCTGCAATAATGTCTCTCTTTCTCTCCCACCTGCCACTGGACCTGGAGAACACACTTTATTCTTGGGGAGAGGGTGAATGGGAGAAGACCCACACCTCCCTTCTCACTGCTCCTGTTGCATGGTCCAGCAATGCTCCCTCTTCTCTCCAGAGTTACAGGCACTTACATGTGAACAGGCAATCTCAGCCCTCTATACCCTTGCTGTCCCCAATGGCTCAGAGGAAGAGTGATGATGGCATGGTGGTGGTGGATGCTGTGGGGAGGGCAGTGCCAACCTCCTCCTGGGGACCTCGCTTTGACTGTGAGGATGAGACTGGTGCTGTCCAGGGCATCTTCTGGATCTGTAGGTGTCTACTCCCCATCTTCCCTTTCTCCCAAGCCAGGGTGGCACAGGACATTAGCTCCCTGAAGTTCAGGACCTAACACAAGCACAGGCAAGGGCATAAGTTGGTCTTGGCCACTGCCACCTCATGGCCCTTTTGTGTGTCAAGCTGGCATTCTCTTTCCTCCACTCCTTCCCCAGCCATTTGCTGCTCATTCAAACTCCTGTCCATGTCTCTTTACCCCCTTTCCCATCAGCTAAGGTGGCCCCAGGGCATGCCTTGGGTACCAGGATGACAGACACACGAGGGGCATGCCTGGCTTTCCCGGTGGGTCCAGGCTCATTCTACTTTCAGTTCCCCTTACTTAGGGCTCTTTTCCCTCTTTATTACTGTGCATATATCCCTCAACCTTCCCTTACCCTGCCGCAGACTCTTCCCATCACACAGAGATGCCAGTTGTATTTGTGGGATTTCACGCATTAGTAATAAAACCTATATTTATACAGTATGCAGTGTGTAAATGTGTGTGGGTCTGGTACTTGGTACCATAGCCTGTGAAGGAGTCTTCAAGGCACTTGGTAAGAAGTCTGTGAGCTTTAGGGAACCTGAGGCAGAGGAGGGTAAGTTCCAGGTATGAGGTCTGTTCAGAAAGTATCCAGTCATGTAATATGAAAAATAGAGACATTTACTGAAGAAGATACAAAACACAAGAAATATTGTACATAGGACAATGACGCCTCGGTACCCTTCAAAGTAGGCACCTTGGGACCTCACACAGTTCTCCCAGCGTCTCTTCCACTGTTCAAAACACTCTGCAAAATCCTTTGTTGGAATCGCCATCAGTTGCCCCATCGTATTTTCCTGAATCTCATCGACGGTCTGCAAACTCTTCCTTTTCAAAGGTGATTTTTGTTGCCTTCTGAATCATCTGAATAGTTCCCATGGAGGAATATTCAAGCTTAATGAAAATTTTGATGCAGGTTTGTTGCCCTACTCGCTCAGTCATTTTGAATGCCACGGTTGCACAGTACACATGCTCATTCAGTGGCATCTACTGTCCCCACTCACCAGTACAATGAGGTCATCATTGTTCAATGCATGTGCATTCCAATCCACTCTCCTTGGCTGCCAGGTTATATCGATGTTGTTCAAACCATTCTCATTATATTAACAATGGCTGGACTTTTCCTGGACAGACCTCCTATGTCAAGCTAGTGAATGTTTATATTATAAAATATCCATATCATTTTACATCTCACAAATGCTTCATGTTTATTATGTCAAGGGAGTCTCATGACAATCCTGCATTATTCCTCATGACAACCCATTTTGCAAGGAAAGAACTGAAACTTGGATTAAATCACTTGTCCATAGATTATTAGCTAATGAAGGTAGAACCAGGTCTGGGAACTAGGTCTTCTTCCTCTAGACTCCTTAGGCTCCTCATTCTTTTTTTTTTTTTTAATTGCTTTTATGTTATTTTCCCTCTAAAAAGAAAACAGGAAGAAGAGAATCCTGTGACATTAATAAGGCATCACAGGTGCTTTCGAACAATTCCTTTTCATACCGAAACTTCTGAGCAAGCACAATATTATGTGGTGGGTATCTTCTTTCCCTCCTTTTTAATCTGGCAGACCAGGTGAAGTGAGCAAGAGAAGACTGATCATCACCAGTGAGTGAACTATGTGGCCAGAGTGCAAATCCAGGAAGTCCAAAACAATCTTAACCCTTTTTTATTCCTTCTGGGAGAGGGAAGGGGAGAGACGTGAGAGATGGTGCTGAAGAGGTACCTTTGTAAGGAGCTCTTTGTTAAATTATGGGAGTTCTCCTAGACTCCTTTTTTTTAAAAATAAAGATTTCTTTTATCTACTTTCTAGAGAGAGGGGAAGGGAGGGAGAAAGGGGGGAGAAAAATATCACTGTGCAAGAGATACATCCATTGGTTGCCTCCAACTGGGGGCCTGGACTGCAACCCAGGCATGTGCCCTGACTGGGAATTGAACCTGTGACCTATTAGGTCTCCAGGCTGGCACTCAATCCACTGAGCCACACAGGCCAGAGCTAGACTTGTCATTCCTGACATCTGTTAGTGACACTTTTCATGGTGAATCTGCAAGCTGTGTGTGGGCCCCTGTGTCTGTTGCATAGGTGTGTTCTTACTAGAGTGGTACATGACTTTCTATCCAGAAGTGCCTGAGCCCTAGTTGTGCCTATAGGGAAGGGGTTGGGGACTGGGGTTAGTGGTTCATGAAGGGCAATGAGAAGTAGGAAAAACCCTGCAACCTAAGCCCTGGGATGAGAGTGGTAGAGACCTCACTGAGCTTGCCACAGCCTTTCTCTTCTTTTCCTCTCTTCTTTCCTACTGGGCCACACTTACCAGGGCTAAGCCATCAGCCATCAGGACTGCAGATGGTCTGGTAGCCTGAGATTTGGAGTAGGCAACTGTCCAGAAGTCCTTGAGGGTTGGTAGCAGGATGACCCAGGAAGTAGCACATCGTTTCACCCACTTCCTTTCTGATCCTGAAGCTTAGGAACTGAAGGAAGGGACTGGCATCAACCTGGCCAGCTGCCTGGAATACCCTAGTTGTGCCACATGCAGAGCTAATGGCCCTGGGCTAGATTACGGTCCAATCTATGACTGATTGGGTGCTTGCCTGGAGATGGACTTTTTGTTTCTTAGAGGGTTGAGGGTAGGACTGGGAAGTGGAAAGAAATGCAGCTTCTGGAATTCTAGCTAGCTTTACGGACATTCTGAGTGCCACCTTCTCCATGCAGGGATGCTACTATATGGCTCCTCAAAGTCAGAAAGCACAAAATCCCACTGTTACATAGTTTTTCTTAAGACTCCTTATCTTTACTCTTTCTTTTTAAAAAGGCAAACACTCCTAAGACACTGAAACATTTATAAATTCACGCACTTGTAAATTCCCTTGCTTGCTAAGGAGATGAACAGCCAATCCTGAGCCAGCAAAGGCCATTTAGTCACAGAGAACATTTGTGAGTGTCTCACATATTTGCGAAGAAAGCTTTTTGGATTCTTGTAGTAACCCCATGAGGCTGCTAGGGTGAGTATTATTATTTCCTCCTTTTACAGAGAAGGAAACCAAGGCTTGGAGAAGTGACTTGAGCAAGTTCTCAAGATATGGTGCTCTTGCCATTGCGAAGCACCTGCGATTTCTCCCACCAGTCCCAGCAAACTGCAGAGGTGGGGAGGAAATGCTCCCTGCCCATCCAAGCAAGTTTTGAAATGGGCCCACTCACCCTAAGTACCGACTTTCCTGGACTCGGGGATCATCTTTACCACAAGCTCCTCTGTATCAGGGCCTGTGCAAGGTTTTGGAGGGCAGAGATGACCAAGACTCTTCTCCACAAGATGGCTCTACAGCACCTGGCACCCCATCCTGAGGTCAGACAACAGAGCACATGCTCATAGCACAACTCAGAGTACTTCAGTCTACAAGAGGCTAGTCAAGTCATACATTATTTAAAAAGCTTACATGACTGTCATACCCTCGTGGCGGGGAGGGCGAGGGGTGGAGCAGCTTGCTCTGAGCTGTGTCCTGCAACTGCAGCCAGGGGCTTGTCTGCCTTGCATGACTACGTAAGTGCTGTGAAGCCAGAGGAGTCCCCCAGTCCCAAAATATCACCTCCAAGGCCACATTCTTTGGGCTGTTCTACTTCCTTCCTCCCATTCCTTTCTATTCCCCTCTCAGAACATCTGTTAAAATGCAAGTGTGCCATTTTCCCTGCTGCCTGGAATGTCCTTCCCTTCCCAAACTTATTTAAGATCCAGTTTAAATGTCACCTCTGCCAGAGGCAGTTAACAACTCGCTCCCCTAGGCTTTCCTGAACCTTCTGTCAGCCTCTGAAGTACCATCATTTGGGCCCTCTGGAGGGGAGCTGCTAGGGTCTGTCTGATCCCTGCATGCTTTGCTCACTCAGTATTACCCCAATACCATGCGTTCAGTGAATGAACAAAATATATGAGTGAAATATCAACACTGTTTTCAGTCCAGATAAAGGATAGCGATCACACAGCCCTGTTTCCAGCCTTGCCCTGAGGAACTACATGCACTCCCTATTGCATACCTCTGTTAAGTGCACATTGTACACCTATGTTTGTGTGTGGAGGCATGCCCTGGCTGTGGGTGGTGGGTGACTCCTCCATCAGCTACATAGGCCCTGGGTGTGTCTTACATGGAAGCAGAGAGATGAAGGTGCAGGTTTAGAGGACCAGGAAGCACCAGTACTAGGCCATGATTGGGTGCCAGACAAGAAGAACAGGTTGGGGTGGAACCTGTTTCTCTGCCCCCATTCTTTCTCTTTTCTTGACCAAAGTGACCAGAAGCCATACACAGAAGTTTGGGGTTTGAAGAGAGCCAGGTACAGAAGGAACGACCCAAGAAGATCTTGACTCAGATATCTGCCAGGGGGTAGGCTGAAAAACTGAAGAGAAGCTCAGAGGAAAGGATGACGTGGGTATGGCTGGGTGCTTCAGGGAAGCTTAGGGAAGCTTAGGAAGACCCATGCCCTCGATTCCTGTTCTGGCTCTTCTGCTTCTTAATGGATTAACCTGCGCGAGTCATTTCACCCTTCTCAGCCGCAGTAACAATATCTGTGAAATGGGCATAACAACAAGCCCAGCCTGGGAAGTGGTCAATGAAGTAATTGGATCCTGGAGCTGGGTAATCTGCAAAGGGCAATCCTAGCAGAGAGCAGCAACCCGCCTGGGTTGAAGGCTGTAACCAAGGAAGGCGGGGGCGGTGCAGTGACCGAGGGGGAAGTTCCTGCCCCAAAGCTGCTCTCTGGGACATTCGGTCCCTCTCATTGTCTTCCTCCTCCTAGGACCCCGAGGAGTCCGAGTGCCTGGCCTCGTTCTCTCCGGTGCCCTCTGCCAGGGTCGGATGACAGTGTGGGCAGGCAAGAATCGCCGCGCCACGGCCTTCCGGAACAAGCGGCAGGCACCGGCGGGCCAGGAGCTCCCTGACCTGGGCAGCCGCGGGTAAAGGCCTAGCCAGTCGGGTTTCCTCTCGCCGCCGCTTCGGGTGCAGCGCCGGGCTGGGCGGGGCCGGGCCTGGCAGGGGTGGGGCGGTGCCGCGCAAGTGTCGCTGGGAGTTCGCGGCAGCGGGACGCCTAGGACGCAGCTGGTTTGCTAAGTGGTGGGCTTTCTGGCAGGCCCTCCCATCTGGGTCAGAGGCCGACTGGAACTAGGAATAATGTTTGGGACCCAGTTTTGGGGGAGGAGCTCTGGACCTATGGGAGCACAGCCTCTGTACTTTTCCTGCGGTGTCCCCTCCTTTTCTCACTGCTCTGGAGACCTGGGGTGATCTTGGGAGAATTGTCCAAACCACCACCCCACCCCTTCCGCGAGTCTCATCTTGAGCCACTGGCCCTGGATCTGATTTTATCCCACTAACCTAGTTTTTCAAAGCTTTCACAGCTTTCCAGGGCTCTCTCTTAAGCCTTCCCCGGCCCCCGAGACTCCTGCTGTGAGTCCCAGCCCACCCCTCCACCGTTTGGCCTTGCTGGCGGCAGGTGGGCCTAGGGCAGACAGTTTTCACTAAGTGTGCCCTGCCCATAAGGAGCCACATCTCTGGAAATCAGGTGTTAAAGAGCAGCAGACTCCATTTAAGGGAGCTCAGAAGGATCAGGAAAGACTTCGAGGGAAACAGTATCTTTAGGCAGGGTCTTAAAAGATTGGGTAGGGTCCTGACAGGAGAGAAAGGTCCCCCCAAAAGGACACCTAAATCAAGCAATTCACTAGGTTGAAACTCAGAAGATGTTCCTGAAGCCCCAGGGGATAGACAGTAGGTGGTATGAGATAAAATGGGATCTCTCAGGTGGAGGATATAGAAGAGGGAGGAGATCTGAAGGTCAGGCCACGGTTTTGCCAATGCTGACATATAAGGAAAGGTCGATGCTGTCCTGGGGAAGAAAATTCTTGGCCTGCACAGGGAGGAGGTGGTGTTGGTTGGGGCGGGTAGTGATGGTTTGTGGTTCATTCACACTATTCTTTTTGCAGAGGAACAGGATAACAGGTGGTGTATAAACCCTGGGCTCTGACCTTCTCTCTCATGAGGTGGAACCGCCATTTGCCCAGGGCCTTTTGGAACTCTGGCCTGGGAAGAGTACTCCAGACAGCAGGTAAGAAGGAAGCATGGGTTTCTGTTTCTATCTCTTCCTTCCTCTTCAGAGTCCAGATGGTGCCTCTAAGAGGGCAGAGATTCAGACAACAGGTGCACTAGTCCCAGTTTTGTGATTCACTAGCTGTTCGTCTTGGGCAAGTCACATCATCTCTCTGAGTTTCCTTTTTCCCATCCTAAAATAAGGGAATCAGACTAGATGATCTTCAAGGATCATCTGTAGCTACCTAAGTTCAAGAACACTTGTTTGATTTCATTTTGCATTCAACAAATACTTTTTGAGTGCCTGTTATGTGAAAGTCTAAGTATATAGTTGTGTACAAAAACAGATGTGATCCTGCTTTCATGGTGGAGGGAGCAGAAATGGATGTTAATCAAATAATCATGCAATACAATATAAAATTGCATAACAGCTGCTGCAAAGGGGTGGTACATGATGCTTTAAGAGCAAATAATGGGAGATTTCATGTAGGTATAGAGTCTGTGTATTGGTGGGGGATATGGATGAGATGTGGATGCTATTTCTTGCTTCTCCCTTCTCTCTGTAGATGAGAGTATCCCCTTCATGATCCACTGGAATTGGGACCTTAAAGGGGAGTGTCCCCTTGAGCCTTCTAGGTGAGGCCTTAGTGTTGTATCTTCGAATGTATCTGGGCATAGCAGAGTAGCCTGGGAAAGGTCAAGCTACTTGCTCTTCTGAGGGGAAGGTTGGTCTTCTAGATGTGGGGAGGGTACAGTCAGCTATCAGGCTTAAGAGGAAGTTGGCTTACATCATCTACAGTAAAAGTCACAGTGGTCAGCCAGTGGGAGGATCTGTGGGAGGTGGGTGGTTTGGCAGTTACCAAGCTGAGTTCCAGACAGGCAGCTATAGGGACCTGGAGGGCTAGCGGCGAGACCTCAGCCCCAGGGAAGGATGAGAGTCAGAGAGTCTCGACTTGGGTGTCCAGGGTTGGGTCTGGATCTCAGCAAAGCACAAGTCCATCATTCCAAACAGGCCTGGACTCTGAGCCTGTTCAGGGACTGAGCTCAATAGCCAAGCCCCAGCTCACCCCTTCTTTTTGCTCCCAGGGTCTTTGTACGCCACTATGGAAGCTCAGTGGGCAGTGGTCCCCCATCAGGGAGGCATGGACAGTTGTTCCAGAGTGTCTCTGCAACTGGTAAAGAGATTGGCTCCTCAGTCAGCCTGAGGACAAGGGCTGGCTGGGATCACAGTGGGGGCCTGGGGTGGGGAGAGGGGCCTGGAGGGAGAAGCAGGCAGGGAGAGTGAGGCATAGAGGACCCACTGACATTATCCGCCAGTGGGGCCATGCTCTGCCCACCCTCCCTTGCCCCATGATCCATCTGTCCATGTATCTTTTCCTGTAACACTCATATAATGCACTCTATGTACAAAGCCCTGGAAGGGATGTTCCATACCTTCCTACCTTCAGCAAACTGGGTCTAGAAGTCAGGTAAAAATTGCACACATATAACCATGAAAACCAGTCAGCCCAGGCTTAGCATCACTCATCCCATGGCTCCCCATTTTCTGCCACAGGGTTTCCAAACTTTCTGGACGCTCTGTATTTTTTTAGATAGTTCTGTGTGCTCAGTACCTTTCTGAGCCCCAGCGTGTTCTAGTGCTGTCTTGACTCTGCAGCCTGACCCTACCACCACTCTTACTGGCCCTAAGCTCCTGCATCTCCTGGCCTCTTCCCATGGCCCATTCCCTTTGCCTTCCCATCCAGAAGCCATCCAGTGGCATCGCCGGAACCTGGCTGAGTGGTTCAGCCGCCTGCCCAGGGAAGAGCGTCAGTTTGGCCCAACCTTTGCACTAGACACAGTCCATGTGGACCCTGTGATCCGTGAGAGCACCCCTGATGAGCTTCTTCGCGCACCTTCAAAGCTAGCCCTGGAATATCAGCCGCCCCCAGCCAGGCTTCCCACATTGGCCCTGTCTCAGCTCTTTGACTCAGATGCCTGTGGGCGACGGGTGCAGACAGTGGTTCTGTATGGGACGGTGGGCACAGGCAAGAGCACACTGGTACGCAAAATGGTCCTGGACTGGTGTCATGGGCAGCTGCCAGCCTTTGAGCTGCTCATCCCCTTCTCCTGTGAGGACTTGTCATCCCTGGGCCCTGCCCCGGCCTCCTTGTGCCAACTTGTGGCCCAGCGTTACACTCCCCTGAAGGAGATTCTGCCCCTGATGGCTGCAATTGGGTCCCGCCTGCTATTTGTGCTTCATGGCTTAGAGCGTCTCAACCTGGACTTCCGGCTGGCAGGCACAGGGCTTTGCAGTGACCCTGAGAAGCCAGAGGCACCAGCTGCTATCATAGTCAATCTGCTGCGCAAATATATGCTGCCTGAGGTAGGTGGCCCCCTGCCCCTCCCTGCCACCTCTGTCCCTGATTAGCCACCTAAGGATTTTTGTGTCTTGGGTCCACATAATTATTGGGTAAGAGAGGCCTCTGGGCTAGTTCAAATCCTGGCCCCACAACTTCCCAGCTATGTGTCATTGAGCAAGTCACTAACTTCCCCAAGCTTCTATTTTCTTTTCTTTTCGAGTTGTATTGATCAAATGAAATACCACATATAAACTGCTTGGCACAGTGTGCTGGCTCATAGTAAATGCACAATAATTGTTAGTTATAATTATTATGGTCGTCATCATTTTCATCCTTGGGTGCTTGGTTGTCAGGTGCTCCCTTGGGAGTGAGGCAAGCAGGATATCAAAGTCTTTGTTTTTCTCTTTTATAAAAAAATACTTTATTTACTTGTTTTTAGAGAGAGGGGAAGGGGGGGAGAAAGAGAGGGAGAGAAATATCGATGTGTGAGAGATCAGTTGCTTCTTGCACAGCACAACCCCAACCAGGGACCCAGTTCAAAACCCAGGAATGTGCCCTGACAGGGAATCGAACCAGCCACCTTTTGGTTTACAGGCCAGCGCTCAATCCACTGGGCCACACCAGCCAGGGCTCAAAGTCTTTCTTAACCCTCAACTGTGCTCTTTCCAGGCCAGCATCCTGGTGACCACCCGTCCCTCTGCCATCGGCCGCATCCCCAGCAAATATGTGGGCCGCTATGGCGAGATCTGTGGCTTCTCTGATACCAACCTGCAGAAGCTCTATTTCCAGCTCCGCCTCAATCAACCTGACTGTGGGCATAGTGCTGGGGTGGGTGTCTCAGCTACGTCAGCTCAGCGTGACAGCCTGATGGAGATGCTCTCCAGGAACCTGGAAGGGCACCACCAGATCACTGCTGCCTGCTTCCTGCCCTCCTATTGCTGGCTTATTTGTGCCACCTTGCATTTCCTGCATGCCCCCACACCGGCCGGCCAGACCCTCACAAGCATCTATACCAGCTTCTTGCATCTTAACTTCAGTGGGGAGATGTTGGACAGCAGTGACCCCTCCAAGTTATCCCTGATGGCCTATGCTGCCCGAACCATGGGAAAGTTGGCTTACGAGGGGGTATCTTCCCGCAAGACCTACTTCTCTGAAGAGGATGTCCGTGGCTGCCTGGAGGCTGGCATCAGGACAGAAGAGGAGTTTCAGCTGCTGCATGTCTTCCGCTGGGATGCCCTGAGATTTTTTCTGGCCCCGTGCATGGAGCCAGAGCGTCCAGGCACATTTGTGTTCACTGTGCCTGCCATGCAAGAATACCTGGCTGCCCTCTACATTGTCCTGGGTTTGCATAAGACAACTCTGCAGCGGGTGGGCAAGGAAGTGGCCGATCTTGTGGGCCGTGTTGGAGAGGATGTCAGCCTGGTCCTGGGCATTGTGGCCAAGCTGCTGCCATTGAGGGCCCTACCTCTGCTCTTCAACCTACTTAAGGTAACAACAGCCTCCGGACCCTAGGTTGTTAGCCTCCTACTCTCCATTTACCCCTTGCTCCTCTCCCAGAAGGAAACTGCTACTTCCTACATAGCTATGAATCCTCTTGTTTTGGCTCTGGCTTCAGATTTACCACAATTTGGCTTTTAGTGGGATTGGAGCATAAGGAGGGGGTAGGGGGGCGGACAGAAGCCATAGGCTGGGGAAGGCTTGGAGGCTGAGAGGGGAATTTGAGGGTGCAGGGACTTTTAATAACAATCCTACAATCCTAAGATGGTTTTGTTTTGCATTTTTTCTCCTGGTCTTTGTTTCTGGGAGGCAGGAGTCACTATAGTTCAGGTTCTGTCCTCTGCTTTGCAGGTCCAGACACTCTATTATTTCTGTTCTCCCAGAGACAATTAGACTCCAAAAGTGATGACTCATCTTAACTAAATCATCAGAGGCAGGTTTATAAAGCAGATGCCATTTTATTCATTTATACCAGGAAAATGAATGCATTGGTAATTGGCTTAGGGCAGTCTATCCAGGGTGCAGGTCCACATTACACGCCTGAGAACTTCTGCGAGCAGGGCGGATGTACTAAGTTTTTGAGGGGAAGAAGGATCTGCTCTCTGCTGATGTCTGCAAGGTGACTTGTGTATGAAATGCTATTACTTTTTAAAATTTTTTAACTTTTATTTTTTAATTTTATTGATTTGGGAGAGGGAGAGAGAGAGAGAAAGAGAAACAATGCTTTGTTGTTTCACTTATTTATGCATTCATTGGTTGTTTCTCGTATGTGTCCTGACTGGGCATCAAACTCGCAACCTTGGCTCATCGGGACAATGTTCTAACCAGCTGATCTAGCCAGCCAGGGCCATTATTCCTTTTATAGATCAGGAAACTGAGGCTCATGGAGTCTAAGGAACTTGTTGTGGCCACTTGGACAGTAAATAAAATAGCTAGGATCTGAGCCAAGGTTTCATGATTCTGAATCCTGTGTCTTTCTGCCAAATTTTATTGCTATATTGTGGGTATTTTTCAAGCTATGGTGCCTTGCTAGGTAACCCTTTCCTCTCTAGGAATGTTTTAGTAACTGATCTTGAGGAGGCAGAGTCCTGGTCAAATTTCAACAAGTTTTCCTTCTTATAGGCAGCAAAGCATAAGGGTTAAGAACTGGGATTCAGTAATGCAACTACCTCGGCTGAAATAAAGGCTCTGCTACTTCCCAGCTGTGTGGCCTTTGATAAACTGTTTAATCTCTCTGTGCCTCAGAGTCCTTATCTCTTAAATGGGGATAATAGTAGAATCTATCTCATTGCCCTAATAGGAGGATTAAATATGTTCACACTCAGGGCCTGGCACATAGTAAGTGCTATCTAATTATTAAACATAAAAAGAGGATCAGGCAGCCCACCCCTTCTTATACCATCACCCCATACAGGGAGGTAATGGCCATTGCTGAGGCTACCCCACCCCCTTCAGGATGTACTTCCCTTGTCCAGACTGTAGGAGGTCCCCTGACAGGCTCCCGAAAGCCCCTCCACTCTTTTAAAAGTGCACCAGAATTATTAGCACCACAGTCCCAAGCCTTCTTGGAGGGAGAATTTCCTGGCAGAGGACTGTTCCATAGTGTTTCTTCATGATCCTGTTGATTCACCTTTGCAGGGTGACACTTTCTATCCCAGTACCGAATTAGTGTAACCTCCTTGGCAGGCACCTCACCTATAAAAAGCAAAAAAAGAAAAAAAAAAAAGAAACCAAGCTTTAGAGGAGGTGCCACAAACAACCAACCTCATGGCTTACTGCCAGAGGTAGGGACCCTTCATTCCTTTCAGAACCATTTTAAGGATGAAGGATGATGTTGCGAACATCCACAACATTCATTTCTTCAGTGAATATTTGGGTGCTTGCTATGTGCCAGGCAATATGTTAGATTCTGAGGAAAGAACAGTTAAACACCCCCTTGCAGGTTTCTGCCTTTTCCAATCATACAGTCTGAACACAAACATGTCATCATAACCATGTAATTAAAAAGTATGCTAAGTGCCTGGAAAGCAAAGTTCCAGGTGCTGAAAGTGTCTAAAGAGGGACCTGGTCTAGGAGAATAAGGAAAGCCTCTCTTCAGGAAGGGCACTTAATCTGATCACTAGAGGATTAGCTAGGAAGAGAACTCGGGGGAGGGGGAACACCTCAGGAAAAGTATATAGCTTTGCCACTGTGAAAGGAGAGAGAAAGGAGAGAAAAAAGCTTAAAGGACAGAAGCAGAATGAGTGAGGGTGAGAGGCTCGTGATGAAGCTGGCAGGGACCAAATGATGCAGGGTTTTGAAGTAGTAGGAGTAATATCAGTCATCATTGCTCTAAAGATGATGTTGAAGATGGGGATATATTTATAATATCTACCCTGTTCCAAACTAGCTGCATGATATATCTGATTTCTTCCTACTACCCCCTGGGCTTGAAAAATGTATGGGGTGTTTAGGGAGAAGAATGTATGTATGGAGTGCATGAGACAAATGTTGAGGGATGACTCTGGAAAGATCAAATTGGGGCCAAATTATGAAAAGTTTTATATTCTGTGTGGGCAGTAGGGAGTAGAGTATTATATATATGATCAGACAGATCATGCTATGAGTTCAAGAGGAGACACGAGGCTGGAGCCATCAGGGAGAGGGCATCTTAAGCTGAGCTGTGAAGGCTGAGCAAGCACGCAGGAGGCTGCAGCGCCTTTCTCCTGCTTCCTTTCCCAGGTGGTTCCACGAGTTTTTGGGCGCATGGTGGGTAAAAGCCGTGAGGCGGTGGCCCAGGCCATGGTGTTGGAGATGTTTCGAGAGGAGGATTACTACAATGATGATGTCCTGGACCAGATGGGTGCCAGTATCCTGGGCATAGAGGGCCCCCGGCGCCACCCAGATGAGCCCCCCGAGGATGAGGTCTTTGAGCTCTTCCCCATGTTCATGGGAGGGCTTCTCTCTGCCCATAACCGGGCCATGCTGGCTCAGCTTGGCTGCCCCATCAAGAACCTTGATGCTCTAGAGAATGCCCAGGCCATCAAGAAGAAGCTGGGGAAGCTGGGCCGGCAGGTGCTGCCTCCCTCGGAGCTCCTTGACCACCTCTTCTTCCACTATGAGTTCCAGAATCAGCACTTCTCTGCTGAGGTGCTGAGCTCCCTATGCCAGCTCAACCTGGCGGGTGTGCGTATGACACCTCTCAAGTGCACAGTGGTGGCAGCTGTACTGGGCAGTGGAAGGCATGCCCTGCATGAGGTGAACTTGGCTTCCTGCCAGCTGGACCCTGCTGGGCTACGCACACTCATGCCTGTCTTCCTGCGTGCCCGAAAGCTGGGGTGAGGACCTCATGCAAAGGCATGAAGAGAGGAGAGGGTTGGAGGTGAAGAAGTGGGAAGAGAAGGTGCCAGTTAAACCAAAGGTACTGAGGAAAGACCGAGGGGTGGGATGAAAGAGTATGGTGTGGGTAGAGGTGACAAGAGCAATGGAAGTGTGGATTGCAAGAGTCAGGATGGTGAGAAAGGGGCCTAGGGGATGGGCAGGCCCTATGCTGAATTCCTTCTTTGGTTTCTCATCTCTCCTCTGGTCACCTTTTGCTCCAGCTTGCAACTCAACAGCCTGGGCCCGGAGGCCTGCAGGGACCTCCGAGACCTGCTGCTGCATGACCAGTGCCAAATTACCTCCCTGCGGTAAGTGTCCTGAGAGGGGGCTGGAGGGAGGCTCTGGCCATTCTGGTGGCTACCTAAGGTCAAGGGTATTGTCCATGCTTCAACATACTTGACACAGGCCTGACCATGATGCAGTAAAGGGGTGGGAGTCTGGACCTGTCCTGCCCCCCAGGCCCAGTACAAGCAGTAGGATGGGGATGGGGGTGAGATGCCACCAGCTATAGGTGCTAAGAAAGCCTCTCCTGTGGCTAAAATCAGCCTGGGGAAGGGGTAGAATAATACCCAGGCCAGTTGCCTGGTAACAGTGCCACTGCTCCCTTCTTAGGACTTTCCTTGTCGCTTTACAAGGATGACCTTCATGCTGGGCACTCAGTAGATGCTCCCAAAGAGTAATTGATTTACTAGGAACCCAGGCTCTTGGGTTTCTGATTTCTGGTTGAAGAAGGGGGAGGTGAATAAGAGAAAGGAGGAAGGGCAGGAAGGATGGGGCAGCAGGGTCTGGGGAGAAGGTGAGAAAAAGCAGGAGAAGGGAAATGGTAATGATGAAGAGGAAGGGGAGAGGGGAGTAGGGGGTCAGCAAAGGAGAAGAGAAGGAGGGGAAAGAGGAGAAGTCTCTACCCTACTCTCCCTCCCTGGCAGTGTGCCATACCTTCTATTTCTCCATTCTCTTCTCCTGGACCTGCATTTCTGTGTCCAGGCTGGTCTCCATCCCAGGCTGTGTACCATTTGGCCTAACCACAGGGTCTCTACCATAGTCCTTATAACCTTGGGGTGTTTGTGGCTATAGGCTGTCCAACAATCCACTGACAGCTGAGGGTGTGGCCTTGCTGGTGGAGGGGCTAGCAGGAAACACCTCGCTGACACACCTGTCCCTGCTACACACGGGCCTTGGGGACAAGGGCCTAGAGCTGCTGGCTGCCCAGCTGGACCGTAATCAACAGCTACAGGAGCTGAACGTCGCCTACAATGGCGCTGGTGACACAGCGGCCCTAGCCCTGGCCAAGGCTGCCTGGGAGCATCCTTCCCTGGAGCTGCTACAGTGAGTCTTATTCCTGGTCTTTGCCCTACCGCAGCCTGAGACTGTGTTTCCTATCCTCAGTCTTCCTTCCCTCTTTCCACTGTGCTTTTTCTACCCTAGGGAGTGGGCCTGGGCCTGTCCTCTCTTCCTGGCTTCTGACTGATGCTTGTCGACCTTGTCTGAGCCAACCCACTCCTCTGTGATTGGCCCTTAGCCTGCCCTGATTCTCTACCACCATTTCTCCTAAGTTCCCGGTGGCTCCATTCCTAGTGTCCCTGGTCCCACTAAATTCTAGTGTCATCCCTGCCTCACACTGGCCACTACCTTCTATCTCTGGCTTATTGTAGACATGCCCCATCCCATTCCATAGCCAGGGGCTGAGTTGTGTGACCCCCTCACTCTTTGTCTACCCTCTACCCTCTGCCACACCTTCTCAGAGCCTTGCTTAATGACATTTACTGCTCTCTCTCCTGCTAGCCTCTACTTCAATGAGCTGAGCTCCGAGGGTCGCCAGGTCTTGCGGAACTTGGGGGACAGTGTTGAAGGCAGTGCCCGGGTTGTGGTATCGCTGACAGAGGGAACAGCAGTGTCAGAGTACTGGTCGGTGATCCTCAGCGAAGTCCAGCGGAACCTCAACAGCTGGGATCAGGGCCGAGTCCAGCGCCACCTTGAGCTGTTGCTACAGGATCTGGAAGATAACCGAGGAGCCACCCTTAATCCTTGGCGCAAGGCCCAGCTGCTTCGAGTGGAGGGCGAGGTTAAGGCCCTCCTGGAGCAGCTGGGAGGCCCTGGACGCTGAGACAGTGGCAGCAGGCACCTAGCTGTGTAACCCCTATCCCCAAACTTCTTCCCTCTGTGGCTTCCTGGCTTGTACTGCTACTTCTATAAAGATCCCGTGCCCTGGCTGGTGTGGCTCAATGGATGGAGTGCTGGCCTACAAATCAAAGGGGCGCCTGTTCAATTCCCAGTCAGGGCACATACCTGGGTTGTGGGCCAGGTCCCCAGTAGGGGGCATGTGAGAGGCAACCACACATTGATGTTTCTCTTCCTCTCTTTCTCCCTCTCCTCCCCTCTCTCTAAAAATAATAAAATCTTAAAAATAAAATATCCCTTCATGGCTGGAGGCAAAATACTAAGCATAGCTCTATCAGTGGCCCTCTGAACAAGCCCAACCAAGCCTCCCAAGTCCGGAATTTCCAGGGTCATGAAACATGCCTCCTCTCCTTTGGGCTAGAAGGACAGAAGGATATGGCATTTCCATGATTAAATTGCCCTGTAGCACCACCACTAACCTTGCTTCTCTCTCCTCTCAAGGAGCCTCTGTGCCACCAGGGGGAGCACTACTTATGTCCACTCGCCCATGGGTGTCGCGCTGTCCAGATGTGCTGGAGGGCTTCCACCCCTTGCCTTTATACTTTCTGTGGACACTCAGGATACCCATAGCCACTTTCCTCTCTCATTGGTGCTTCTCCCTAGCCGCATGCTCCTCTTACCACAATGGTACTTGTGCCCAGTGGTTCCTACCAGCACGTGCACTGACTTGTTGCTATTAAAAAACTGTCTTCCACCTACTGTGGCCTTTTTGCCTGGTGCTTGCAAGGAAGCGCACTGTTCTCGGCCATTCTGATTAAACTACTGATAACTTTTTGTTACAAATAGTTCTTAGGTACTAAGTTGAAAGGCAGTGAGGGCTGCGGGGATGCATGATATTGAGGTGTGGATAGGCGATTCTGGGCTTAGCACTCCTGTCACCCTTTGCATACATTCTTACTTACCCCAGACTTGGAATTAGGGATCAGCAATCTACCTTTCTCTGCACCTAGCAGGAGCTGGGACAACGGGAGAGTTTCTGGAGAAGTTGGGGCCCAGGAATGGGTGCAAGAGGAACTTGAATATTTCCCTGGGGATGAGACTCTCCTTGTTTAATTATTATCCCACTGCTTCCTAGGCAGCGTCTTTAAGGAGGCGGGACTGGGGTGGGGGTGGGGGGGTAAGTGGGAAGATTAGCTGGTTTCAGTGGACCTTGACCCTACCCTGAGGACTGTGTTGTTGATTCAACTATGGAGGCAGCTGCAGGTAGGAGGCTGGGAATTACCCCTCGGAGGGGACTTCAGGGCAGTCAGGGTTAGATTGGGAGGCGGAGGCTCTATAGGCCAGGGCACACTTGATGTTGGGACTTGGAGCCGTGAGACAAATAGACTGAAAGTTAGCAGAGAAGAGGTGAGTGGATGTGTCTGTCTTCCTGGTCCACACCCTGGACTGGTATGTTCAGATTTCTGTACCATGGCCTCAGGGGGAGGGGAAAGAAGGGAAAGGAAAGACCCTTTTGGAGCAGAGTGGAAGGGTCAGGAAGCAAGCCCTGAGTTTCAGGGTTCCCCTAAGTCCTTTCATTTAATGACCATGGAAGGGGGTGGAGAATGCACCTCTCTTCCCTTCACCCCATTTTTGCCCAGCAGATCTCCAGGACACAGCTTCGTTAACTCTGTAAGTCATATCCTGTAAAGGGTTGGGGTGAGGAGGGGAGGAAATCAAAGGTGGGAAAGCTCTATAGCTGCTATTGGCATCTCAAGTACAGTCTGGGATCTCCTTGCAGGAAGTTTGAGTTTAACCCAAAGCTGGGCATTGATAATCCTGTCCTGTCTCTGGCTGAAGATCACGACTCTTCTGGTAACCTCCTCACCTCCAGGGCAACCATTCCCCCTCCCAAGAGATACCAGGGCTCTGCACAGCCTCCCATTTCCTTGATAACCACCCTTCTGTCTGCCTCTGATAATAGCCTTGGGTGGAAGTGACCACGCGGACAGAGGAGGGGGCCAGCTGTTTCCTTCTGTTTCAGCCACTCCGCAGCACAGTGTTTGGCCCTACTGCCCAACATTTAACTGGGTAGAAGTCTGCCAGGTGCCCTATCAAGGGAAGAGCATTTGTCAGACACAAGGTGACTTGTACTTGGGCCACATCCCTCCTCCCCCTTTTCTGCTGCCTGCTTTCCCCTCCAGATCTCTGGAGCCTGGAGCGACCTCGCTTCTGTCTGCTGAGTAAAGAAGAGGGCAGGAGTTTTGGCTTCCATTTACAGCAGGAGCTGGGCAAGGCCAGTCATGTGGTGTGCAGGGTGGAGCCAGGCTCCTCTGCCCAGCAGCAGGGTCTCCGGGAAGGAGACCGGATCCTGGCAGTGAACAACCATGTTGTGGAACATGAAGACTCTGAGGTGGTGAGGTTGGGCTGGGACTCCCCCGCGGCATTAGAGAATGTTCCATAGCGTCGCAGGGGAGAGAGAACCAGGATCACTTCCTTGGGTATACTGGGGCAGGACCCAAGCCTTAACCAACCCCAACCTCCCAGGATTTGGGGGTACCCAGTTCAGAATATTTGAGTAGAGGCATCCAGAAAGCTGGTTTCCATGGTGAAAATGGCAGGTTCCAGGGATGGGGAGTTGGCAAGAGAGACCAGCTCCAACCTCACCCTCTGTTTAGGTGGTACTCCGCATCCGGGCCAGTGGTCCTCGGGTGCTGCTGACAGTGTTGGCGCAACACGTGTACGATGTGGCCCGAGCTCAGCAAGGGAACGATGCCCTCCTCTGTCCCACTCTCAGCCTGGGGGTCCGGCCCCGTCTCTGCCACATAGTCAAAGATGAGGGTGGTTTTGGCTTTAGTGTCACCCACGGTGAGCTTAGAGATTCGGGAGGGAGGTCAAGAGGGGGAATCTCAGCCCTGCTCCAGGCAGCCAGAGGACTAACACTTGCCTTTTTTGTTTTTGTTTTTGTATTTTTTTTTGTTTTTTCCTTTCCAGAACATCAGGGTTCTTTTTGGTTGGTGCTGAGTACTGGAGGAGCAGCTGAGCGGGCAGGGGTGCCCCCTGGGGCCCGACTGTTAGAAGTGAATGGGGTCAGTGTGGAGAAGTTCACTCATAACCAACTCAGCAGGAAGGTATGGCTGCCTGCTTCACCATTCATCCTTCACCTTCTGGGCCTGGGCCTCAGTCCCCTGTCTCAGGAAGCAGACTCCTCTCCCAAGTGCCAAATCACCTGATCTGATCTGATCTTGTATCTCCGTCACCATCCTTCCCTTTGCTGTTTATGCCAGGCCCTTCTCTCCCCTATCTTTAGTGCCTCATTCCTGGGCCTGGGAAGAGGGGCTGTGAGGAGGTGCCTGCCTCTGCCCTCCCTACCCATGTAGTTAATGCTGAGGCCCTGTTGGGTCCCCACAGCTTTGGCAGAGTGGAGAGCAGGTGACCCTGCTGGTGGCAGGACCAGAGGTGGAGGAACAGTGTCGCCAGCTGGGAATGCCTCTGGCTGCACCCTTGGCAGAGGGCTGGGCACTGCCTGCCAAACCCCGCTGTCTGCACCTACAGAAAGGGCCCCAGGGCTTCGGGTTCGTGCTCAGGGAAGAGAAGGGCCTTGGTGGTCACCTCGGTGAGTGGGAGCCCTGGGGGTGGGTAGAGAAGGTGGGCTGGGAAGGTGGGCCTTGGGGTGGGCTTACAAGTGTATATGTGCACCTCAGTGCATGTAAGTGATGTCTCTGTCTGAGCCTAAGCCCTTGGCCTCCTCCTGTGCACCCCTGGTCAGTCGCCACTGTGCCTGGGCTGGCATTGGGGTAATCAGGGAAGGAGCAGGGAGGATGTCTGTTTCCCAGGGCAGTTCCTTTGGGAGGTGGACCCAGGACTGCCAGCTGAGAGGGCCGGGATGCAGGATGGGGACCGGCTGGTGGCTGTGGCTGGGGAGAGCGTGGAGGGGCTGGGCCATGAGGAGACAGTGTACAGGATCCGGGCGCAGGGCTCCCGCGTCTCCCTCACTGTTGTTGACCCTGAGGCTGACCGCTTCTTCAGCATGGTGAGAGCTGAGGGGCAGGGGATAGGGTGGGGGCAGGAATGGAGTGGGGCTCAGGTGGATTCAGGTGGGGCTCAAGCAACAGGTTTGTTCTATCTGCCTCCTTCCAGGTTCGCTTGTCTCCACTTCTCTTCCTGGAGAGCACAGAGGCTCCTGCCTTTCCCCAGGACACCTGCTCGGCCTTTCTGGTTGAGACCAAGAATCTACCAGCTGAAGACACAACTGTGCCTCCTGTCCCATGTGGGTCCCGCCAGTGCTTCTTGTACCCTGGGCCTGGTGGTGGCTATGGCTTCCGACTCAGCTATGTGGCCAGCAGGCCTTGTCTCTTTATCTCCCAGGTGACTGATGCCCCATTGGCCTTGGATCCTATCAACATTTGCCTCCTGGTGAACCTTCCTCTGCTTCTTTCCAAACCCTTAGAGCACCCAGCAAACTTTTCCATGGTGTTCCTTGTTCTGTATCTCACCCCCAACCCCCAGGTGATTGAAGGAGGCTCAGCTGCCCAGGCAGGACTACAAAGGGGAGATGTGATTCTGGAGGTGAACGGGAATTCTGTGGATGGAAAGAATGACTTGGAAATGCTTCAGCAGCTGACTGAGGCTGAGCCACCTCTGTGCCTGAAACTGATGACCAGGTTTCCACAGGGCTTGGAAGCATGGATTCCCTCAGGGTCTGTAGAGGTGAGAAAGGAGAGGGACTGTGAGCAGTCAGAGAAACACAGAGGGGAAACAGGGAGGTGGGCAGAAAAGGAAGGCTGCAGGGTGAAGCAGGGGCAGGGTGGGGCACGAAGGTTGGGACTTTAGGCCATGGAACAAGTCCCATTACTGGGCATTGCAGTACACGTGGGGACAGGGCAGAGGAACTCTTCCGGTCCTTAAATGACCTCCCTTCTCTCTCTGCTTAGGAATGGGCTCTAGTCTCAGGTCTGTTGCAGTGCCCTCCTCCTTGGCACAGACTTACCCAGTAGCTTTCCTGTCTTTACTCTCCAGCTGGAGATGGCAGGAGCTGAACTGCTCTCTTTACGCCAGAAACTGGACCTCTAGGACCCTGAACAACCACAGGCTTGCCCAGAGTCCCCCTTCCTCCCATGGGACCCACCTCCCAGAAAAGGGTGCTGTCAGAGGCCTCAGGTGGGCCCACTAGGGATCCTCCCCTCTGACTCCAGAGGAAGTCACGTGGGAGCTTTGGAAGCTGTGCCCCAAGGATGAAGTATACCGGAGATGAGTGGTGTGATTTTGTGATTTATAATAAGAAATATATATTTGGTCTTCATACTCATTCCTGGCACAGAGCTCTTACAACCCTTGGAATTTCCTAAGTAATAAGCGCAATAAAAAGGGGGTGGGATGGGGAGCTGGTTGCCAGGGGACCCAACCTGTGATTACAGGGTTGAAACTTTCAGCCCTGTCCCTACTCCCACTCTACCCTGGCTTCTTGGGAGGGGAGAGTGGCTGGAGCTTAAATTAATCACCAATGATTTAATCAATTATGCTTATGTAATGGAGCCTATAAAAAACCCAAAAAAGCCAAGGCTCAGAGAGCCTCCAGGTTGCTGAACGTGTGGAGAGGGCAGGAGCTTCCATGACCATACCCTGCTCTAGATATCTCTTACCTCTTACTGTTCTTGAGTTGTATCCTTTATAATAAACTGGTAATCGAGTAAATAAACTGTTTCCCTGAGTTCTGTGAGCCCCTCTAGCAAAGGATAGAACCAGAGGAGGGGGTCATGGGAACCTGTGATTTGCAGTTAGTTCGTCAGTAGCACAAGTGACAACATGGACTTGAAAATTGGTATCTTGTGGAACTGAGTCTTTAACCTATGGTGTCTGTAGGAAGATAATGTCAGAACTGAGCTAAATTGTAGGACACGAGATTGGTGTCCCCAGAAGAATTGGAGAATTTCTTGGTGTGGGAGAAACCCCTACACATTTGGTGAGCAAAAGTAAACTAGTACTAAGAGAGTTTTCATAGAAGAGAGAAACAGACTTTTCCATTTTCAGGTAGACTGTAGGGCCAACTAGGACTAAAGCCATCTGGAAGTTACTCTAGGCATGACTCCAGGACTCTTAGATGTATTACAAGAGTCTGGAGATGAGCACCTTACAATTGCAGGGGCTTGTTGCCTGATCACTGTTGGTTTATTATAGAAATGGCCTTTCCCCGCAAAACTGGCTGCTGTGTTTGTGTGGGTGGGCTGTGGTTGGAAGGGACCAAAAGGCCCCAGGCTTAACGGGTGGGACCCAGTTTCTCTGGGAGAAGCGTTAAGACCTTGTCAAATTTCTCTTCTGTCATTCAGTCTTCAGGCTAATGGGTTAGCCCAGGACCAAGGTGTTCACATAAGAGTCACTCATTTTTGCCAAAAAGCCTCAACACAGTTTTGTTGACTTCTACATCAGGACAGCTTTATTGCTGGGACCCCAGAGACTATATGTTTACAGCCTCAAAGATCCAGGGGGTTAAGTCCAAACTAGCAGAGCTAATCCTTGTGCCTGGTGTGGAGTCTCAGCATGGCTCCATCCCACTGTGGCTTAATGGCTCTCAGCTTAGCCAAGAGCCGGTCCAGGCTGCCCTGCAGACACCAAGCTTCAGGCCCCAGGAAGCAAGGGGAGGGTGAGGGGCTCACAGGTTGGTCTATAAACTTTCATTGGCGGTGTTTCCTTAAAGTTTTTATTCTTAGTGGACCGGCATGGTTGCACACCCTCAAGATAGAGCAGAGTTTCCTGTGGAGATGCTTCTTCTTCTTCCCCCTGGTCCGCCATTGTCCCACTAGCTGGGGCTTGTGGTGATGGAGGAGTGCTGGGTACTGGATGTCTGGGCTTCAGAGGGTGGTGCTTACATGTAAGATGTCCTCATACTTGGCTTCCATGTCTGCTATGTGGGTCCAAAGCTGGGCCAGAGTTCTGTCCCACTCTCTGAGGGCTTGCTTGGACTCTTGCCATGAAGCCTGAGCCTCCCTCTGGCACATGTCTGGGGAGTGGGGCGGAAGGATGGAAGAGGACAGAATGGTGACACTCTATCCTTGAAAAGAGTCTCCAATGGTACCCAAAAAGCAGGGGCTCATTCTAGAATGAGTGGGATCATTCCAGACTCTCTGAGAGCCATCAACTTACCTGTAGTCCCTATGAAGAATTTAAGTACCATTAAGGTATAGTAGAAAGAGTAGTAGACTTGGGACAAGAGATCTGGGTCCCAAATCTGGTTGCCACTTACTACCTGTGTAACATTGAGCATATCTCTCTCTGAGCTTCAGTTTCTTTACCTTTAAAGTCTTTTACAACTTTTTTATTGATTGATTTTAGAGAGAGAGAACCATCAATTTGTTGTTCCACTTATTTATTCATTCATTGGTTGATTCTTTTATGTGCCCTGACCTAGGATCGAACCTACAATCTTGACGTAGCGGGGTGACGCTGTAACCAGCTGAGCCATCCAGCCATGGGAGTTTCTTCCTTTTTAAAGACACAATGTTCTCATACTTCACAGGCTTTCTATGAATAATGTAAATGTGATCATGTATGGGAAAGCATCTAGTATATAGGAGGTGCTCAATAAATACTGTTTTTATTTAAATTTGAAATAAGGCAAAGATTAGGAAAAGAACTTTGAGTCTGCATGGCAGATAAGCAGTTCAAGGATACCTATAGCTAAACTAAAGCTATTTACAGTTTAGAAAACTTTGAGGGCTAAATTGTAAAAAATCTTCTGTATTGTGTTAAAATATTTCAACTCTATCATGTAACCAAGAGGGAACAAAACAAAAACTTCTGATTTTTTTTTTTAAATCTGCTTATTTGGAAGCTCTATTCATTTATTTATCAAATAGTTATCTAGGATCTACCATGACCTAAGCCTTGAAGATAGGGAGGTAAATAAGTCAAACATCTTCCAGTAGTTTTTTTTTTTTTTTAAATCTTCACCTGAGGATATGTTTTAATTGATTTTAGAGGGGGGAGGAGGGGAAGGGAGAGAGAGAGAGAGAAAGAGAGAGAGAGATTGATTAGTTGCCTCCCGTGTGTACCCTGACCTGGGATCAAACCCACAGCCTGTTAGTGTATGGGATGATGCTTCAACCAACTTAACCACCTGGCCAGAGCCATGCTATTTCCCCTTAATTTTGTTGTAAAAATCAGCCACTCTAAGAGGGAATATGTTTTGCTTATGAAAGGCATGGCAGTGGTAGGGAGGAAGACCTGGATTTGAAGAGATCATTGAAAGGGGGAAAAGGGGTGAGAGACTGATATCTTCTTTACTGAAGATTTTTGACATCCTAAACCCTCCTGTTTCAACCCCCAGTGGTGAGAGAGTCAATGGGGAAAGTGATAGAAGAGCCTAGACTGCAGTCTCCTAGAGAAGGATCATCTTAATTTCACCCCTTCAGGCTGGACCTCCTCAGTCATTCTCTGAGAGAATGGGCTTAGAGGTCAGGGAGCCCGCCAAGCTGCTCTTGAAGGCTCCTCACTTCTTCCCCCAGGTGCCTGCTATGGGTCTCCTCCTCCTCCTGCAGGACCTGGCATTGATGACTCATCTCTGTGGTGGCGAAAGTGGACAGCCAGGGAACTGTCCACTTTCCCTGGGATGGAGTGGTGGAGGAAGGAAGGGAAATTGTGGGTATGAATGGCTCCTTTTGGTCCAGTGGGACAAGAGCATAAAGGCCTTCTTGGTTCTTGTGGTGATTCTGAGAAGCTGGGAGACCTTGAAAATCCAAGAACTAGGAAACCAGATGCCCTTTCCCCATGCCAGCTCAGGATAGGGATTGTAGCCCTTCTCCCCACTCACTCCCATGGGATAAATGAGATCAAGGCTATGACTGCATTTTGCAACCTACAAAGCATCAACAACATGGCATCAGGCATCCTGGAAGGTCCCTGCCTGGAATTCCGAAGGCCTTTCTTTCCTTCCTTTCCTTCCTTTAGGTTCCTGCCTGATTTATGCTCTGCTGGGAAGGCTAACACTAGGCATGGCAGATGGAAGTCCTCCTTGTTTTCCTTCCTTGCATCCTCTGGCCTTCCTGGTTGTTCTCTTCCAGGAGCTTGTCCCCTGCCCACCTGCTTGACTGACCACATACCTGCATATATGGCCTTCCCTTCACTTCGGGACCCCTCCAGTTCAGCCTCCAGCCCTTGCAACCTCTGCTTTAGCTGTTCTGCACAAGCCTTGGCTCGATGGGCCTTGCCCTTTTGCAGAGATGTGAACAGTGCCAGAGCTCTCAGAACTGGCTGGGGACCTCACTGGATCAGCCTCCATGGGCTTGATGTACTTTGCCCTCCTCCAAGAACCTAGCAGCAGACTTCCAGACTTCTCATTCTCATTCTGTCCTCTCCCTCCACCCCCCACTAGAATCCATTACTAAGAAGCAAGAACACCCTTTACGGTTTGACTCATCAGCTCTCACTGTCCACACTTTCCTCACAATCCCAACACGTGACTACCTTTTCCTACTGGGGGATGGCTAGATGTCAGCTTAGCCCCCCACATTAACTTCAACCCTCCAAGCCCTTAAGGGGAGAGATATGCTCCACTGGCCCACTTGTATTGCCTCCAGAGCTTCCATCCTACTTACCTAAGTGGTCTTGGAGCAACTTCTTTTCCAGCACTGCCAGCCTATGGATGGATCCAATTTCCATACCTGCCCTGGCAAGTTGACAGAACCTCAGCTTATCATGATCTCAGCCTTCCTTACTCTGGACTTTCTTCCTGAAGGAGATCTGAGGATCATTAAATGAGTGATCTCTGATGGCAGCATCTACTTAGTTCACCATTGTGTCCTTACTGTCCAGCACAAATATATGTAATATGAGGAAGGCACAGAAACCAAAGGGGATCAAAGGAGGGGTGGGTGCCAGTTTTCCCACTTTCTCAGCTTTGTGGAACCTAGATGTGAGGATATGAAGGGGAAGGGTTCAGAAAACACCTTGTCATGTAAAGGGCTGAATTCTCTCTGGAGCACCTCTTCTCAGTCTCCAAGCTAGAGCATGGAGAAGCAGTGCACTCACCTCCACTCATCTTGGCTCACCAGCACTTGTGTTCTTTTTCTTCTGTGCTGCAGCTTTTATCCTTTCTTCTTTGGTCTTAGGTGGCATCTCCTTGCTGTCCTGGGGGGAAAAGGGGCCTCATATTTAGGTCTTGGACATGGGGATGCTTTCCTGATCCCTAGACTGAACCAGGAGTCCCAGGGAGAGTTAGAGTTCTAGTCTCCAATTCTGCCTCTCATACTTCCCAGAAGCTTCCATTCTTGGTCTCCTTGAAACCTTAGGCAAGGCTGAAAAGTCAGTGGGGAGGTTGGAGCTGTTTCTCTTTACAAGTCAGGCTCTACGTAAAGAAATCACTCCTTTCAGTCCTCTTTTGGAGGAAATAAACCTCAGCACCTTGTCTCTTCCCTCTTCCCATTATCTTTACCCTGCCTCTTCCTACCTATAGGACCTTCTCTTATCTCTGTTGTGTCTTCCTGTGAAGTGACCCACTCATGAGGAGGGGTAGAGAAAAGGTCCAACCAACTGGGAGCATGAGGAGGAGACTTGGTTCTGGGAGCCAATCCAGGGAGGCATATTTCCTTCAGGGGGCAGGACTGAGAACTGGAAGGCTGGGTTTCCTGAGACTGCTTGTCATCCAGGCAACAGGGAAACATGAAGTTCATCGGAAGGTGGAATGGACTAAAATACAAAGCTTAAAATACCAAAGTCCTAGGTGGCTAATTCTCTCCTTATCCCCAAATCCAAGTGTAGTTAGAGGAGCAAGGACTTTGGAATCTGTTTTAATTCGCTTCCATGCAGCACTGCCTGCAATTTAGAGACTTACAAATGACAGATTTACACATTTGAAATAATGCTGTTGTGTTGATACAGGGAAAAAAGACTGATGGTATCAGTTTGGGGCAATTGACATCACTAGGTCTTATCAGCAAAATGACCTTGTTAGGCTTAAAACTGAATATCCCCTTCAGAAAGGCATTCTATGGGGTATGAGGGAAAGAAATACAGGAGAGCTTCCTCCTTCAGAAAACGAGATGCAGAGAAAAGACAGACCCATGGACTCCAGGTGCTGACCTAGAGGGGTGCACAAGTAGAAGAAAGGGCACTGGTTAGAGATAAGAGCTGTAAATTCTAGTCTCCCCTCTGGATATGTAAACTTGGGCAAACCATTTACTTTTGCTCAGCCTCAGTTTCCTGGTCTTTAAATCTTTGATTTTGTAAATCCTGAAAGACTTCAGTTTTAACTGAGTATTTACAGGGCTATCTTCTCTCATGGTGACTTAATTTATTGCTTCTCTTTCTGCATCCCCTTATGTGTTTGATTTTCAGAGAGATGGTGAGTGTGAAAGTGTACTTTGGCTCTGGGCAGTATTTGGTTTGTTGGGGCTCCCTCTAGTGGACTTGCATGACCTTTCCTGGAGTCTCCTAAATTTTTCTATTTAATTTATTTATGGGGCAATGTTGGAGATGCTTCCCTCTTGGAGATGCTTCCGAGCATCTTGCTGGAGTTATGAGTGGTTGGAAAGACTTGAGGAAGGGAGTATGAAGGGTGACTTGCCCTTGTTGGGAAGCCCCTACGCTCCCTCCAGTCCTGTGCTATGGGGAGCCTTGTCATCTGTCTGCCACATGGATCTCTGGGCACATTACCTGCTAGCATGAAAACAGCAGAAACTTCAGGTTCCTTCTCCTTGTAGACTAAGGAAAATTTAGACTCTCTCTCTCTCTTTTTTTTTTTTTTTTTAGCTATTTCTTTCTATCTCTGTTTCCCTCAACATTTTTGGTCAATAGCCTATTGCCAGGAGCAACTCTGATGAAATAGCCATAAGATCCGGGAATTAAAAATATCCTTCCTTCAGGGAGCAGGCAGATTCAAGAGGAGGCTGATTCATGTTGATTTGCCAGCTTCATGACTGCAGGGTATTTCTCTGAACCTTTGGATATTTTACAGAGTAAAGAGATGAACTGGGCTTGTCCTTTTAGGTGCTTATAGTTCCTGTACCTAAGGGTCAGATGGCCTTATGCACATTTCCCAAACATGGAGAATACTTATCATCTAATCTTGAAGCATATTTTTTGTTTATTCTTCCCCAAGAACCCTCTCTTTCTGCCTAGTAATGCAGTAGAGGTTCCTGTCCCAGTCCTTCTCCTCAGCTAGAAGCCTGTTTGGGGATGTTTTCCATGGAATGTTGGTATCTCCATTATGCTGATGCATGGAATGACATATTGGAGACAGAGATTACAGAATACAAACAACATATGATGCCTCAGAAGAGCATTTACTTTATACACATGTTCAGTCAACCGACTTTCAGGTCGAGAATGAGGATGTGGTTTGGGGTGAAGGTGAAATAGAATAAAAAAAATGCTACATGTCACATGATATGATACAGACTGAGTTACTCTACAATAACCCAGAAATAAGAATGACACTGTGATCAACAATCCAATCCCATCTCTAGTACATTTTGAGAATAAGTCAAGTAAAAATTGTGAAAAAAAATCTATCTTTCTTCTTTTATTAACTCAGTTTAGAAGTGAAAATAGGAAAGATCATTTCAGTAGAGCTCTGTCTTCCTTTGAATAGGATCACACCTGGAAATTTTGAAGACATACAGAGAAGGGTCATTCCCATGATTTATTTAGATGTGAGAGATAGATCATAGTGTATTAAAAGAAATATGGCTTACTGCAGCAGAAACAAAGTACAAATAATACTATTCCATTCTATACTAACATTACTAAAGATAATTCAAATTGGAAGCCTTTAACCAAGCCAAAGATGTGTAGATGACTTAGACAAGTTCAGCTCCAAGAGTTTATTTCTTTTCTTTTGAAAAAATTTTTATTGAATTTATTGTGGTGACATTGGTTAATAAAATTATATAGGTTCTTTTTTTTAAGATTTTTAAAATCCATTTTTAGACAGAGGGGAAGGGAGGGAGAAAATGGGAGAGAAACATCAATGTGTGGTTGCCTCTCCCCTGCTCCCTACTTGGGACCTGGCCTGCAACCCAGGCATGTGCCCTAAGTGGGAATCAAACCAGCAACCCTTTAGTTCACAGGCCAGCACTCAATTCACTGAGCCACACCAGCCAGAGTAAAATTATGTAGGTTCTAAGGGCTAATTTCTGACCTGTACTCCAGTAAATCTAGGATTTGACAATGAGGGAAAAAAATGACCCTTGTAGTACCTACTGTGGATGACTGTGGTAGGTGTAAGAAATAAATGGTTACGGAAATTTAGAGGACAAAGGATTATTTCTTGCTGCAGTGTCTGGTAAGGAGGACACTATTTGAGTTGAGTTTTTAAGAATGGATTGGATTTTAGTAGCATGCCTTAGAGCATAGGGAATGCCCTGAGTAATGGTTATGAAGAAAAAAGAATTGTAGTATTTTGTGACTTGGTGAGTCACCCAGCACAGGATATATGTATTGGAATAGTATAAAACTGAAAGGTAATTTGGAGTTAGATCACAACTCTTTATTCAGGAGGAATGGGGAGTGTTTAAAGTTTTTTTGTGCTGCTGACGGAACTCTACTTTAGGAAGACTAGTCTGGTGGCAGGATGGATTGGAGGCAGTAGGACAACTAGTGAGGAAAAAGTTTAAATAGACCAGAAAAGGAGGGTCTGCGACAAGGCAGGTGTTAAGTTTTAACCATTATCTAAGAGCTTTGCTTAGATTCCTATCTCTTTCTAAGTGTCCTAAGTCTTTCTAGGTTAGGAACTAATTTAAAAAAATTCTGCTGATAGGAAATGATAGTGTTGACTTCATAATCTGTCTTAGATAAAGGCCTTTTGATTGAAAACCCAGAAAATCTGGCTGAAGGGCCCTTGAATTCAGAGAGACTTTTTTTGCTCTTACAGGAGTACTTGATAAGCTTCTTTTTTTCTTTTTCTTTTTTTAAAACTTGATTTTTAGAGAGTGGAAGGGATAGAAAAGAGAGTGAGATAAACATCAATGTGCAGTTACCTCTTGCATGCCCCCTACTGGGGACCTGGCCGGCAACCCAGACTTGTGCCCTAGACTGGGAATCCAACAGGTGACCCTTTGGTTAGCAGGCTGGCACTCAATCCACTGAGCCACACCAGCCAGGGTTCGATAAGCTTAATTCCTTAATTAGTCAAGGGTTTTGTGGAAGAGCCAGGTAGGGGATCTGTGGAACTGAGTACTTACTGACACACCAGGCCCTGCAAGTTCCCTTAGGCCCAGAATTAGTAAATTAGGGCAGGGCACTTCCCTCTTTGGGAGGGAAGTTCCTTTTTTAACAGTTCTTCCAACAGAACTCTTAGAGAAGTGGAAGTGACTGGGAACTGCATTCTGTTCCCCGCGAAGAACAAGCGCTCCTTCGGCCGGCCGGGAGTCACAGCTGTCTTACAGTTTCTGCGGTCTGGGCCTGATGCTGGCAGCGTGGGCCTGCGGTGCAATGCTCTGAACAGGAGAATCTTAAGTACATTCTCAATTCCCAGAAAAGGAACTAGCGTTCAGAAGTCAAAAAGGGGGAAGTGTTTTGTTTTTAGAGGTCAAAGGGCCTGGAAGAAAAGCTCACGGCTTGCCTCAAGCCTTTCTGGGGTATAATCAGTTTCCAACAATCTTCAGCATTCACATTCTTGTCCTTGGGTCAGAATTACTAATGAATTTAAAATACCAGGGGGTAGGGAAATTACTTTCCTTTTTCTCTCACAACTTGAAGAAGCAATTTCCTAATTTGTCGGATGTGGTCTAAAGACTCGACGTTAAGTTTCTTCCTATGGCTACCTGTCTTAAATGTTCCAGTGACCCACTCAAGGAACGTCAACCTACAGCCCACAAGGAACATGGAGAGTTCGGCTTCTGCCTAGTGCGCAGACTCTACGTTAGACCCCGCCCCTTCCTCGCCCTACTTCTCCCGTAGAGAGCCCCGCCCGGTCTGCCCTGAGGGTAGGGGCGGCGGAGGGAGGGCGGAAACTCGGTCGCGGCTTTTCGGGAGCTTGTGGCTCTGGGGGCCGCTACCCAGTACGGACCGGAACGCCAGCCTTCCAGGTCTCTGTGCGCTCCTCCCATCACTAGGCTCACGCTCTCCGAAGGGGCGCGCCCCTGCGGACCCGAGCTCCCGGCACCGCCCACTCCCCCTCCCTACGCCCGGACTGCCCGCGGTGGTGGCAGAGGCTTGGTGAGGCCCCTCCTTCACGCCCTCCTCCTTTCCCTAGCTCTCTGCCCGGAGGAGCCGGCGGACGCGGCTGGGCCCCCAACGCTCTCCGGGCCATGGCCGGCAACGTGAAAAAAAGCTCTGGGGCTGGGGGTGGCGGCGGCGGCGGCGGCGGCGGCGCCGGGGGCTCCGGGGGCTCCGGGGGCTCGGGCTCTGGCGGCCTGATCGGGCTCATGAAGGACGCCTTCCAGCCGCATCACCACCACCACCACCACCACCACCACCACCACCATCACCTCAGCCCCCACCCGCCGGGGACCGTGGACAAGAAGATGGTGGAGAAGTGCTGGAAGCTCATGGACAAGGTGAAAGGCCTGCTGAGGACCCGCAGGAGTAGGGGTGGGCGTGGGCGGAGGGGCCGAGGGAGGGGAGGGAAGAAACAGAGGAAGCTGGGGGAGGGGACGTGTCATGCGAAGCTGGGGAGGAGAGGAGCTGGGGTGACGGGGCTGAGAGTAGGGGTCGTAGGGGTGGAGAAGACACCGGGAAGAGAGGGGTTGGCGGTGAGGGGAGGGCTGTGGTGGTTGGGAATGGGGGAACGTTGAGTGGTGCGTTTGGGGTAGACAAAAGCGGCTGAGGTGAAGGTTAACTGGGAAGCCACCGGGGCGGAAGTATAATGGGGGGTGCAGAGTTTGGGACTCCGTACAGGGCAAGGGGATGTCGGTCAGCGAATTGGCCCCGGGAGATAGGAGGCGGGGGATGAGGAATAGGGTTTGAATCAGTGGCTACGGCTGTTAGTTGAATGAGGAGTAGAGCTCTGGAACTTAACTTTAGGGGCTCTGATTGAGAGACCTGGGGTCAGGCCTACTCCGCAGGCAAAGTGCTCTCTTTTTTTTTTCTCCTTATGTAGATATAACACTAAGAACTGAGATAAAAGAAACAGGGATGTTTAAAGGAACTTTCCTCCACGTCTAGTGCTGGCTCAAGTTTTTATCCTCAAAACAGTGGAAGTTATCCTGCTGGTGCGTAGATTTGCACTGATTAAACCTCAAGTTCTGGTTAGAACCATTATCTTGGGAAAGATGTGTTGACTGAGCATGCTAAGCAGCAGATTCTGACTTGTTTCAGAACTTTTCCTTACATACACTGCTTTATCTGGGTTCTACAAGTTTTTGTAACGGACCTGTCTTCAAGCTTGTTCGATGAATTTCTTTGATTATTAAAATTTTTTTAAAAGCAAGTTTGAAAAATAACACCATTATATTTAGCATCTTTTAGGTTTGGGATTTGGGAGACTTCTTTATAGTTGTGTCTATAACGAAATATAGTTGTTAGTCCCAAGTACTGAAAAGTTTTTAAGCAGTCTAACGATTTGTTCCAGGTAATTCAATACAGTATTTCCTTGGTATTTTCCACATTATTAATTAGTAACTTCCTTTGCGAAATTTATACTGCAAATGAAAAGTGATTAGAAGGATCTGGCATATTGTAAGAAAATGGTGTTATTTCTTCCAGAGTAAAATTGGTTGGTCTCTGGCCCAAGGTTCCTCTTCTGAAAAGTTTTTCAGGGATTGTTTTGGATTAGAAACAACTAATAAAAATGATTATGAGGCACCTGGCAAAAATAAATGTGCTATGTAAATGCTTAGTAAGTCCTGTGTGTGAATTAACAGTCCTGTAGTGCACACCAGTGGTTCCAGAATTTCTCTGGAACCAGTTTTCTCATGTTAAATTATTGATATTGTAATTGGTCATACAAGTATTTTTATGTTGATTATATTGGTGTTGTAATGCTCATTTCATTATTAGAAATTGTAATTATTATAGAAAGTTAGGCATGTAAAGGAAACTTTAAATCCAGTGGCATATTTTTAAAAAATATCATGTATTCAAAATCGGAAGTTTGTAGGTTTGCATCTTAGGGATTTACAGTTAGGACTAAGACTGTTCCCTTGGAATAGAAAAATGTTTACATTTCTGATTAGTTTCTCATATGAGACATTTGTGTACAGTGTTTCAAAATTGTATTGATTAGAGACTTTCCTTAAAAACTTTGATCAGACTTTTGAGTCACCGTAAGGTAGTCCAAATAAGATTCTTCTTAATTCTTACCCCTTCATCTTTTTAAAGTATGTATATTGAATTTTTATTTCTTCTGCAGAATGTTGAAGTATTTGGGAAGAATAAAGAGGACTCAGAGTTTTGAGTGAAAATGATTTTTTTGGGTGTTGATAGTTTCAAGGAAAGGAGGCGTCTAATTTTCCATGTTAGCATAGGAAGAGGGGTGTTTTACTCTTGTGTTGCTTGTCTTGGAAAATGATTTTTAGTACTCTCTGTGCACTATATCACATATTATACTGGTTGTGCTAAAAGGAAAATTCAGTTCTTTCTGATGTATTAGTCTGACAGGTTCTTACTATTGGGTTGGCCAAAAAGTCTCTTACGTTGTTTTCTGTACAGTGGCTCTAGTAGTACTTAGTTGTCTTTAACTTCATTTCAAAGAATTGTGTTAAATTGTATTGTGACAGCTGTCATATCAGTGTGCATTTAAAAACTTACCAAAATTGGTGAATTTTTGTGCAGCCATTTTAATATTGAAGATGGAAGAAAATATGCAACATTTTCGGCACATTATGCTTTATTATTTCAAGAGATGTAAAAGTGCAACTGAAACGCAAGAAAGGATTTGTGTAGTGTATGGAGAAGGTGCTGTGACCAATTGAACATGTCAAAAGTGGTTTGCAAAATTTCTTGGTACTATGGACATTTTGGCCAAATAATTCTTTGCTGTGGGGCTGTTTTTATGCATTGGAAGATGTTTAGCAGCACCCCTGGCCTCTACCCACTGGAAAGCCAATAGCAGGAGATAGCTGACATACTCAAAATATCCAAATCAATAAAGTTATTGGTGAAAATGAAAAATATGCCTTTATTTTATGGAAAAAAAAAATGTAACAGACTTTTTGGCCAACCTGGGTCTTTCCAGAATTTCTGAATACTTCCGTAGTGTTGTTAGGTCACATAATCTCTTTTATGCTTGATGTTTTGAGCATAGATGTTCTCTTTTTTCACTATTTTTATTATTGAAAGTCTTAAATGTGTCTTCTTGTGGTATAAGTGGTGAACTGAACTGTCAAATCCACAAATGTTTCACACGTTTATTGAATGTAGTTCTATGTCACCATCTCATGCCCGTTTTGTCCTTGTCATAGATGTTAGATGAATATTATTCCAGCCTGTTATTAATCAGTTTATTGATTTAATGCTGAGAAGTTTTAGTCTCCTCCCCTCCAGCAGTACTGGATGTATGCAGATGGTGAAGTTGGCATAAGCCATGGATTCTGGTCAACATAGGCCCAATTTACTAATCCATTCATAGGCTCAGTTTACTAATCCATTGTGGAACTTAAACTCTGGAAAAACGCTTATGCTACTACAGTGCTTGTTACTAAACAAAAGACATACTCAGCTTCTAGTTTTTTGTTTTTTTTTTTAAACCATCCTAGTATATTGTGTAATATTTGTGTAAACACTTGTATGTGAAGAAAGTGGCTATTAAGGAGACTACTAGACAGGGGAGTGGAGAGAGAAGTTATATGAATTACCTTAAATGTAAATTTAGAACTTTTAAGGTATTTAGTGAGAGACTCAAAATTTCATTATGAAATAGAGTGGGAGGTGGCAGACTTTTCTGTCAGGGAATAGATAGTAAATAATTTAGGCATTGCTGTCCGCGTACTGAGGCCCATATTCTTTGTTGTTGTTTCTGCAACACTTTAGAAATGTAAAAGCCATTCTTAGCTTGCAGGTGCACAGAAAAGGGCTGTATCCTGTAGTTTCCCCACTTCTGAAGTAGAGTATCATGCTTGCAGAATTTTAGGTTTTTACTATGTTTTTATTTTAAATTAGCTTATATCATTAAAACATTAAGGTGTTGATTTTTAAAAAAATAATATATAATTTGTCCTAGCTGGGGTTGCTCAGTTGGTTAGAGCAGTGGTTCCCAACTTTTTCAGCATCAAGATCAGAGACTGGTTTAGTGGAAGACAATTTTTCCATGGTGGCAGGGGGAATGGGGACAGGAGGTGCAGCTCAGGCCAGGGAAGCTTCACTCTTTACTTGCTAGCCCACTGCACCGTTTACTTCCTGCTATGCGGCCACAGGCCACGGGAAGCTACTGGCCTGGGTAGGGGGTGATTGGGGACCCCTGGGTTAGATCATTGTTCCAATATGCCAAGGTTGCAGGTTTGATCCCTGGTCAATGAATGCATAAATAAGTGGAATAACAAATCCATGTTTCCCCCTCTTTCCCTTCCCCTCTCTCCCTCATATCAATTAAAAAAGCAAAAGGATATAATTTATTGGAAAATGCTTCTCCTTAAAGCATGAGTTGAAAAAACAAGTGTTTTCAGCCTCAGATTTTGAAAACCCCCAAACCTGGGTCTCCTGGGTGAGTCGTGGAAGGACGTCTCTAAAATGTTCCATAATCGTATGCATTATTTTAGTCAGTTGAAAAAGAAAAACAAAATCAAATGACTGCTTAAAACTTAAGTTAAAAATCATGTTCGGAGATGATTATCTTCACAAGCGGTGCATTCAAAGGTAGGTCTCAGAAAGAACCACATCCTGCTGGGGTGAATTTTGCTCTGTGGGGTCATTCTTGCACAGCAGCTTGTACACTGTATTTGGGGCTAAGCCTCACAGTCAGTCAGGCTGAGGGTCCATCCTTCCAACCCATGGAAGGACAAACAGCAATCAAACCAATAGTCAGAGGGCTCACACACCTCCACAAGGGAAACACCTGGAGTACCCGGCCTAGGTGATCAGGGAGACTGTACCACTAAGCCCCATAGGACACCTGCTGCATAAGGCAACCCTACCAAGGCAAGGACACATGGCAGATCTATCTATCTGATACACAGAAACAGCTATATGGAATCAGCCGAAGTGGGGAGATAAAGAAACATACTCCAAATGAAAAAACAGGAGGGGGCAGGGAAGGAGACATCTCCCGAAAACTAAATGAAATAGAGGCAAGCAATTACCAGATTTAAAACTTAAATACAGAGTTCAAAATGATGGCTGTAAGGATGCCCAAGGGACTTAGGAAAAGAAAGGGTGAACTAGTAAGAACTTAAAGAAGTACTAAGCATAAAAAGGGACATAGAAACCGTAAAACACCAGGGGACCTGGGCCACAACCCAGGCGTGTATGCGAACTGGGAATCGAACTGGTGACCTGGTTTGCAGGCCAGTGCTAAATCCAGAGAGCCATGCTAGCCAGGGGTATCAGCTGATTTTTCAACAGAAACTTTGCAGGCCAGAATGGATTGGCTTGAAATACTCAACGTGGTGAAAAGCAAGGTCCT